CAAATTCCAAACCTTGCGCTTTCTACACTCTACTTAACAACATCATGGGTAAGCTTCGCTTCTGCCCAGGTTTCCGTCCATTTCGCTGGGTGTCGCACGCTCCAAAAGGAGAAAAAGAATAAGAAAAGAAAGATTTCGGACCAAGATCGCGTCCCACAATTGATGACCCCGACTCAGCAATTCAACAGCCTCGCGGCCTCCATCAAACCTTGGGAATACCTCTATTTTGGCGTACACAAATTTATAGGGTGTCGCACCATCCTGCAGCCATTGCATTATCATCTCGTAAGTCTTCTGCATGGACTGCACCGCCGGAAAATTGCATTTGAAGCACATTTTTTGATCCAGAGGGCTCGCATACGGTGCACGCGGTGTTACATTTCATCAACGAAAGCCCTTGGGAGCCTTGGGAGTTGCTTGGGAGGCAAAATATGGCGAAGTGCTGGGGGTGTATTCGTGACGGAAGCACAATTAAAATTTCCAAGTAGATTTTGAGTCCCAATTTTACACTTTCAACCGGGGGGAAGCCTTACTTTCATGCATTTAATGTGTAGCTTCTCTGTCGCTCTCCTCTAAAGTGCCGTGTTCTTAAGAGAGGGGATCCCAGCTGGTCTCAGTGAATAATGGGTCAGTAAATGTATTTTGCATGACAGAGATTGAAAATTGTGCACCAAAGAAATATATGAGCGTACAGATTGAATTTTGGGAATTAAACCATGCATGTAGAAACAAAATACGGGTAGGGAGCAACAGCGAGAAACGTCGCAGCAGATAACTCCGGGCCGATGGCAGATAACATAGGGGCTATTGGCAGATAACATTGGCAGGGTTTTACCCTTTTCATGATTATCCGTTTACATACCTCGTTTATTGCTCCCATACTTTAATATACTATAAACTACATTCTATTCGTCCTATGTACAGAGAATTCTGAGTAAAGGTGAAGAAACGGACCCATGAAAAATCTGCGAAAGCGTGAGATACTGCTGCCCAATATGGGCATGGCCGATAACTGGCCGATAACTACCCAGCGGAACCGGCGGTAAACCTCTGCTCAACCCTAGGCTTGATTATTCGGATGGTTCGATCGCATACTGCCGTTAAGCGCCAGTCTGTATTCTCATCTACTACAACTACATTTCAGCTAGAGCCGCCTTGCCCAAACCCAACCAATGGATTTTCTGTGTAAATAATCTCATGAAACGCGACGTATCGTAGTTCAACTTGTCGCTTCAACAACTTTCTCTGGTATTCGGGATGTCTTCTTGCGATTTGGGCGCTTAGATTACCGTTTCTCTCACAGCGGCATGTCCACGAGGCGGAAAACTGTATTGAACCAGCATACGTCGTATTCTTAGGTAAAGGAATAGGCGCTCAAAGACGATTGTTCGTCTCCTCCTTGATGACTCGCAAATCGCGATCCAAGAAATCTGTGGGTGTCGATCCCCTGGCACAATATGTCTTGACCTGTGCTAACTCTCATCCACCACCAGCCTGCCGTCGAGCAAGCTTTGGTTTTAGCGTCCTCAGTGAGTATCTCCATCTCTCACGCTTCATTGCGAGGGCAGAAGTGCAGGCAGCTAAACGATGGGCATGATAATAGCACGATTTCGACTCTCCAGCAGAAGAACAACTGCCACTGGCCCCCGTTGTACTGAGTCCAGCTCTTGTGGTATGCCAGAGTTCCGAGCTGATGCCTCTGTGATGAGATCGTCTGATACGTTCGCTTGTCTAGGAACTACAGAGGAGTGCCCAGCCAGCGTCTGGAAGTTCGAATACAAACAAGGTACTTACCTTCTCATCGTTATCCCGGCCTCTCTTCTAAACCATATCCAGACTGAGAAAAAGAACTTATCGATCATGCCACCACAGTCTCCGCCTCCGCCTCCGCCTTATGGATCTCGTTCTCAGATTACCCCGCCTCCTAGGCAACCTGGCAATTACATGACGATTATTCGAGATTCAGGCCCTATCAAACAAGAGTTTCTCATTAACCCTACACTTTCTGTTCCGTCGGAGCTTCTACCTCCCCTGACTGCTCATGAAACAGAGAATAGTAGGAACAATCTTAATATCGAAGCCAAGTGGGGAGAAATCGACGTAAACATTGAAGTCATGAAGTCTGACTGGCTGACTCGTTGTCGAGTTGACATACGCGCTCACGGCGATATCGTGATTCGTTTAGTAAGTCTTTTCCATTCGCGAGTCATTACCCCGTTAACGCCGTGTAGGGTTTACCTGGCATCGTCTCTCCGGACGATCCGATCCGCCCAGGACCTCTCTGTCTCATGGATGTCTGTGCGAGTTCGGGGAGCATTTATTTGTTGATTCCGCGGAAGCGCATGGAAGGTCCGTTGAACATTACCAGTCGCCGTGACGTATCGTTCTCCTCTGCACTGACGAAGGACTTGACCACCTTCAACGAGAGGGGCAAGCGCAGGGAGTGTTTTATCGGTAACTTTGCCGCATGGTCGGAAGGGATGGGAGATGTGATCAATTTAGAAGCTAAAGCGGGAGGAGTGTTGGTGCAATATAATGACGAGCCGTTTGTGAAGCCTGAAAGCGGGGGCTGTATCATTGCTTGATAATTTGGTTGCCGCTGAATCCTGTAGTCTTAGAAAAAAAAGTTTCTGTATCTCCGAGCTCAGAAATCTCATGAGTATAGAGATGAGTTACTGGATATCCTATTACACAGTGTGAACGAGGCGACGTGTGATGCGGTATGAAAGCGTTGGATTACGGTGTGAGAACCATCATGAGATTATAATCAAATTAACGCAATACGCAGGTCAGAGAAAATATTGAGCATCGAAATTCGACAGGCATACACTCAAGGGATTATTTATACACTCGCAGACTGATTGGCTAGACTACTGAATTCGCGTCGGCCACTGAAAGGGTGCTCAATGTTGCTTTATGCCCAGCACCTGCATTCGAGGCCAGTCTGGAGCGTCTGCTTTACATAAAGTTCTGGCATGGTACCTTAAGCCTGAGGCTAAGGTGTGAAGCCCGATACACCGCTCCCTACAGTGACGCGGTGGAGTCCAGAAATCGGATGCGTTCCGAATCGATATCGTTCATTTGAGGCTCGAAAAGCTGTCCATATTTTTGTCCGTAGTTAGCATCAGTCTTGCCGACTTTCGGTACCATGGTAGTACACTGCAGTAAGCTTTGCTGCCCTAGACATCGCGACAGAGGAACGATACACACCTATTGAGGGAGGGACGGCGTCTAAATTGCTGTTTTCTCTCATGGTCTGTCCACGAGGTGTATAACTCTATTGGAGTCAGCATACACGAGACCCGACCTACCTGCCTAGTATTCTTCGATAACTTTGAAAATAGGCGCTCAGAGACTATTGTCTTCCTTGATAACTCACGATCCAGATATTCCGTGAGTGTCGATCTCTTCCCGACCTTCCTTGACCAGTATTGACCTTTACCCCACGGCAGCCTATCGTCCGTCGCAAACTTCAACGGTTAGTGTCATCGGTAGGTGTCTCTATCTCACGCTTGGTTGCGAATGCAAAAGTGTAGGCAGCTGAACGATGGGTACGATGATAGCACGATTTCGACTCTCCAGCAGAGGAAGAGCCGTCGCTGGCTTCCGTTGTATTGAAACCAGCTCCTGTGGTATGGAGTTCCACGTCGATGCCTCTGCGATAAGATCATCTGATATCTCGATACAGCAGGATTCCGAGACAGGACTCGTCTCTTAATCATATTCCAGCCGAGAAAAAGAAGTCATGCAGTCACATCGTCAACCTCAGACTCGTCGTAAATCTAAGCAGCCTGGCAACTACATGACGATCGTTCAAAATTCGGGCCCTATCAAACAAAACTTTCTCATAGACCCTGCGCTCTCTGTTCCGTCAACGCTTCTACCTCCCAGAACTCCCTATGAATCAGTAGCCTATGAGAACAATGTTAAGGTGATTCAGAGGAACAACCTTAACATTATAGCCAAAAGGGGAGAAATCGACACAAACATTGTTGTCATGGAGTCAGACCGGCAGACCAATTTCCGAGTTGACGTACGCTCTCGCGGCGATATCGAGATTCGTTTAGTACGCTGTTTTCCTTTCACAAGTCGTGGCGCTGTTGACGTTACGTAGCTTTTACCTGGCACCATCTCTCCGGACGATCCGATTCGCCCAGGACCGCTATGTCTCATGAACGTGTACTCCAGTTCAGGGAACATCTACCTTTGGATCCCGCGGGAGCGCTTGGAGGGACCGTTGAATGTTACCGCTCGTCGCGATGTGCAGTTCTCTACTGCACTGTTGGAGGACTTGAATATTTTTAACGAGAGGGAGAAATGGTGGAAGAAGCGGAGGGAATGTTTTATAGGCAACCTTGCTGCATGGTCTGAGGGTGCTGGAGACGTGATCAATTTGAAAGCCAAGGCAGGAAGTGTTTTTGTCCAGTACATCGGCGAGGCAGTGGCCAACGACGGAGTATATCACACATAGTAATGCCAGTAAGTAGTACGCGTTCCATGACTGTTGATTTCACAAGTACATATCCTCGAGCTCAGAAATTGTATCACTATGAAATAAACCAAAAACAGTAGCAAGCAATACGAATGAGGCGAAGAAAATCGTTGTTGATGCAGTACACAAGAGGACGGTGTGAGAGTGGTCATGAAATTACAACCCAGTCAACGCAATACGCAGATCAGAAAATCAAGGAACGTCGAGATCCGACAAGCACTTTGAACTAGGGATTGTGTATACACTGGCAGATCGGCCACGCGTGTTCAAATCGGAAGGATGTTCAATGTCGCTTTATCCTCGACATTCGGAGTCGAAGGCAAGTCCGGAGCGTGAGGCCTTTGGCGGCTTAAGGTGCAACATGTGCAGGTCTGACAGAGCTAGGGCCAATCAAGACGTGTTCCGAGTAGTTGCATAGGGTTGACGATGGGTAGAGACGTAACATATCAAATACCCCGGAGACGCTCCAAGGCAAAGTAAGATATCAGGCATGCCGTACAGTAGCCAGAGTATAAACAAGGATTAAGTTTGAAACAAGAGACAAAGTAAAAGATAAGGAGCACCGGCTAATACCGAGAGTTCAAATCGGTACCGTGACCTGTTACGCGCTCCGGCGATCGGACTCAGAGGCTCTCTAAATTCGGTCCGACTTGTGCATCCTCTTACTTATCTTATACATGGGAGCACACGCGAGAGTCCCGATATTAATAAGTCCTCAGCAGAGAAGTATTGGACAGTGTCGGTCCTCCGATTTTCGAGTCGCCACGAGTTCCTCTTTGGTTCCTCCGCCGTCGGCCGATTGAACTTCATCAGACTTCGCCCTATCCTTAGACACCAGTGCCTCGTAAATAGGCAAACAGAAGCAGGGCTTGTATGGAGAGCACTCAAGGCCGATTACACTCTGTGGACAATATTCCCTATCATGTTCAACGGAATCAATCAAGCATCTCAAACCTGAAACCCCCATTTCGGAGTTGTTCTGGAATTTCAGGTGAAAGTGGCCTTTTTCTTTGCTCTACGGAAGGGCGCAGAGTGGCGTAAAAAGCTTATTAACCAGTTGTATCAAACAAATCTTGTCGTCACACAAAGAACAAGAGATTTCGGGTGGTTATACCCATTTGACATTACAAGTGTAGAAATACAACCGAGCCGAGGCGTCTAAATAAAATAAAGAATATCGAGCTGCATGAGTGCTCATTGTGCGGTAAAGATAATAGTAGAGGTAGAGGTGTAGGAGAAGACTGGGAGAGGGGTGACAAGGAAATTAATGGATAGACATGCTTGAAGATAAGTAAAAGAAACATAGCAACTAGGGTCTTTAAGAGTCCCATTCAGTTTTTCCCGTGGGCGGAGTCGTTGATGCGCCACCTGGAGGATATTGCAGGCGGCGAGTAGCGAACATAAATAACCATCTACCGCTACTGTTCCATGCCGTCGGAGTCGAACGGTGCCGGCGCCATGGAAGGCTGGTTCTGCGTCGTGTCGACGGCGTCATCGACAGCCATAGCAGTAGAAGTAGAAGCGACAGACCCCAACGATGCAGAGGGCCCAGCCTCCGTCGGGAGGTTAACTGCCAGATTGGTGAGAGCGATGATGACCCCATCGAGAGCCAGGGACTCGGGAGTGTGGACAATGAGAGGCGAGAAACGATCGCCATGAACGGCCCTCTGATGGCGGACCACAGCGCATCTGCTGCCAGCTTGGAAGGTGCAGTAGGGGGCGTTTTGGCAAGTGTACACCTGTCTCGAGCACCTCTGGCGAGGTGAGGAGCTAGGTGGGAATACTGTTGAGAGAAAAAATTGGCGGAGAGGCAGGGAACATACTGGTATCTTTGTTCATGGACCAGGTAGAGGGCTCTGAGGTTGGTAGAGAAACGGCACCGGTGGCAATTGAAACGGCTATGGAAAACGGTGTGCGAGAGTGGAGTGACAGGACAAGGGCCGATCGCACCTGTTTTCGTCGTTGAGGGGGCGACGAGCGCCCCTCAAATTACTATCGGGGCGAGAAGGACGCTTGTCACGGTTGGCGTTGATCAGGGTCATGTCGCAGAGAGAGGAGGGAGAAGTGGCTGCGGGTGAGGGAGAAGTGGGTGGCAAGGTGAGTGGTTGATGTTGACATGGGCTGGACATGCGGGCTTTTTGTACGTTCGGGGCTGACGAATTGGTGTTGAATTGGTTGACGATTTTCTTCCTTATAAGCCGAGTGTACAGTCGAGTGGCAACCAATTCGCAGAAATATCCGTTCTGGGAAGGCAGAGCGAATTGGTTCTGGCTTTTGCGGTGTTCTCCACGGCCAGAAAGGAATAATAGCGTGACGGGCCAGATTTGGGGGTGCGGAGCTGGACCCTGATGAAATTGTCGTCCTGTGAAGCGAGGGGATGCTGTAATATTGCTTCTCGCGTCCTCAGACATCTTCTAGCTTCACGGGTAAGGATGAAGACGGCGTATGAAGAAGACCAAAAAGTTCAAGAGGCGGAGTCTTTGAGGTACATGAATAGCCGAGTCTACAGTCCCCAGAGTGACCACAGGTGACAGAATAACGCTAATCGCAGTTCTTTAGCATTAAAGTTCTTTGGGAGCACTGACAAGCAAGAACGATTCACGTCCACGATCCGGGAAGCATAGATGAGAATTGCGCGGCATATCACTCGGTTGTCGATTTCACTACGAACACGAGTAGAATGTGAGGGGGGAAGATCTTTCGACTCCATTTCAAGAATAATCGCCATATCATAGGTATTGTCTTAATTGTCCAAGTCTAGGGATACCAACGCTCCGGAAATAAAAGTGCAGCTTATCTATTTTGCTCCTCCGTGAGGTTGTTTGAATGATACCAACGAGGGGCGCCTGAGAAAAGTTCGACTACGGGCCTAATGTCTTTCGCCATGTTAAATATGACATTCTAGAAGATGACGAGATCAAGCATACCTTGAGAGGCTTCAAGACTCTCGTTGTGAGATAAGGGCACCAAAAACGACCGCAATCAACGCCGTAAGAAAGGCAAACACGACGAACACAAATCCCCGCGCGACAGGAAACAGACCTCGGGTCAGATACGTCTGTACAGAAAAAAACCTAATGACCGCAATGATGAGAAGGACGATGGCGAGTACGATGGTTGTTGCGCCTATTGGACGAACGTATATTTGGATGCGTCCTGGATGTATCGAGGAGATACTGAAGAATTGGACAAGCGCCACGCCTGCCGACGCCAGAGCAAGGCTCGTACGGATGTATGCCAGGAATGTACGTTCCAATGCGAGGTGGTCCCTGGCTACGCTGCCACTGTTCTGCAAGGTAAGGCTGATCTTTGGCATTCCTCCTGTTCCGAGGTAGCTCAGTATGCGTTCAGGCTGCAAACTGAAATATTACTCACGAAAATTCTATCCGTCGTCGTCGTTGAGGCCAAGTCGGAGGGCAGGCTCATCGCGGAGGTCGTCTCCTAGCATGATGACAGAACGTCACTAAATGAGTAAATTATTGCAGCTTTGGTTCCGCGATAGTGCGATGCCAGAACACGTGGGCATTCACCTTCCTTTCTGACGATCATGACCTCTGCCCAACGACACCGCCGCGCCAGCATCCCTCCCATACCTGACCTCCGTTTTGAGACGGCGTATCTGAGCAAGATACGGCCTTTTGTTCACCTTGAACGAGTGCCGGCCCCCCGCGAGGCTTCGGATGACTTTGAGACTGTTGGCGACGACATCTTATATGGGAACGAAGGAAAGCAGCCAGCAAGAGAGGTGCTGGAGATTGACTGGAAGAACGTCTTATGGGTGACGTTCCGGGACCAGGTGCTGACTATGTGGGTGCAGGGTGCGCTCTGGTGCGTCTATCTCAGTACTTTGCTGTTTCTCTTCTTGATTTCTCTCAGGGCCATCGTCGGCTTTTACCTACGGCCAATATACACCCAAGCTGGGAAGAGATTCAAGCGCAAAGAGGGCGGAGCCGTGTCGTGGCTGAGGAACTGGGTCAAGCAGCTGGGCCTGTCCACGAGCACTGACCGAGCAAGATAGAATGTATCATTATCATCTAAGCTGTACTAGATTCCATTCATTCACCCACATATACCTCGAAAATAACACATACAACCACCGGAACCAGACCAGCTGGCTTTTGTGTGCCCGCATCGCTCGATGGGCAGTCAAATATTCTTTCACTCCTGCTACAAAAATTGGCATGGTATCCGTCCGTCCCGGCGCACCCAAGAAGCCTGCGATACCATGTAAAAGTTTTGTACTGGACAAGTCAAACTTGGCCAGCAGAGGAGCGAGAATCCCGACATATTTCGTTGACGTGGGGACGCTGATTAAGGCGAAGAATTTGGGAGGAGATTGCGAAGCTGTCGTCTCGATGAAATGCTTCACGCCCTCTGGTAGCGACCGGTGGTTTGGGTGTCCAGAAACGCCCGCTCGGTCGAACGTCAATATCTACTGTTCGATTAGAATTTCTGTGAGAAAATATCGGTTTCGCAACGCACCGTAGTAATCTCCAAGTCCGACACGTAGACGCCCAGGATATCTGAGATGATGTTGGTATCCCAGGATGCAGTGATGTTATCCTGGAGAGCACTGACAGACAGTAAGAAGTGAGGAATATACATATACTTTCAAGTAAACGTACGGGTGGTCAACAACATGTCTATTTCCTTCCTTTACACCAAGGACGTCCAAACTTTCTATCAACTCTGCTCTCCGAATATCTCCTAGACCGTCGGCATTTCCTGTGGACAGCGAAAGAACGTGGACCTGGGCATGAGGCAGCAGAGAAATAATGGTGGGCGTAAAGAACATGCACTCGTCGTCTGGATGAGCGGTAAGAAATAGGAGGCTTTCTTTCTTTAGTGAAGGAAGATTCAATGCATTCTCAGTTGCTGTAGGAAGGTATAAGATAGCGCATAGCAAGGGAATCAGAGCAGCGAGAATGATGTTTGTTGTCAACATGTCTTGCTCTGTACGGGCCGAACACCGGAAACTGAAGGGTGGCTGGCGTCCTCTTCGTGGAGTTAGTACAAACGTTAGATATTATTGTGCTTCGTCTTTAAAAATGTATTATGCAGCACAATAATTCACATCCGTTGGATTGAGAGGATTGCGCTACGATCAGATGGGTTTAGGTACGTTTTCGTTGCCCGCGAGCGTTTGAGTGATTTGTGCCAGTAGTGAAGTTGCAGAATAAAATGAGAAAAGTATAGAAGGTCTAGGACAGCAAGGCACAGTTCAAGCTTTCAAATTTCAAGGGGCAAAGGAGATCCTTGACGGCGGAAATGGGGATATGATTTACGATGGGTATCAACATGAGAAGCAGAGCCAATATGTATAGGCAGGGAACGCATCCACTGAGAATTTTTGGAGAAAAGTGGGTCGGTACGCTGCTCGCTCACTGGCGAGAGTCACGACCCTTTTGTTGCCTGAGAATAAACTCTTTGTACGAGCGTCAGAAATATGTGATGTTGAAAGAATTTACGGCATATGCTCACCTCTGGCTTTTCCTAGTTAGTAGGATTTTTCCTCAGCCACAAGCGCCCCAAAAACAACAGCGATAAGAGCTACGAGAAAGGTGGATATGACGTAGACGAATATTCGCGAAACCGGGAATAAGCCTCGCGTCAGGTGCGTCTGCACCGAGAAGAACCGAATGACGCCAATGACGAGAAGAATGATGGATAGGAATACGGTGAGTGCACCTATTGGGCGAGCATATGCTTGTATCCTCCCCAAGCTTGTTGAAGCGATGGTGCAGAATTGTACCACTGCCACACCAGCCGAAGCGAGCGCCAAGCTTGTGCGAACGTAAGATAGGAAAGTGCGTTCCAGCGAAAGGTGGTCCCGAGCTACGCTGCCATTATTTGCCAGGACAAGACGTATTTTCATTGTTTCTGGCGTTTTCGGATATCAGCATCGAGTGCTATAGAATGGGGAAGGTTTTGACTCACTAATTTTGTGCTGGCAGTTATAAGGTGTCGGATGGGACGACGGCGACTCAGATATTGCGGAGTATAGACGGCATAGTCGGTGATGTGTGGAATACCAGAAGGTACCTTTAACATCAAAGGCGCTTCGAAGACCGGCCATCCAGTCACCCATGAGTACCCGTGACCTTCGAGGGTCAGCTCGAGCAGCAGCAGAGACTCCCAAGCGGGGACATTGAATGAAATTTGTATACCCGTAAGTCGCTGTCACGATTTAGGCACGAACTTTGCTTCGATCATGGTCTGCAAAAGACTCAGGATTTGAACCGCGTTGAGTAAAAATACCGCAGAGATACATGGACTGTTGACGCAGTCCACTGTTCGAATTGCGCCTTCGGGACGTGTGACCGACATTTTTAAAAACTTGCGGTAGCGAGTGAGAGTAAGAGAAATAAATAGATAACCGGTGAGCCAACATTTCCCGGGCCCCTATCCGACTCGGAGACAGCCGCAGATGACGTAATATTACGTCATGAGTTGCGACCCTTAACTTGCTCGCAACGGAACCGTGCTTGTTCTCGACCATCATTAGCTCTAGCCTCTAGGCGGTGAGTACACTGGACTGCGCCGATCCATGCACATCTTTCCCTCTCGTACGATGAGCTCCAATGGTCGAAGTAGTCGTACAGGTGGGCCAACCAAGGCTCTAATCTCACAGAGAGGATTTATTGACCGTATGGACGATGGGCTAACCGGTGTGGAAGGTATGTGACTCGAAACGTGTTTTTATGTCTCTTACTGAAGATATTTAGGTGCCCAGGATGTGATATCCATGATAACTTCACGGCGAAGAGTCACGAAACTCATTCTTGGACATAATAAGTTATCCGATGACGGATGTATTGTTCTCTTTCGGTTCTTAGCATCCCAAGCGGGGAGGAAATATCGAATAACGGAGATTAGCTTGAACTCGAATGAGATTGGTGACCGTGGATTGTTGGCTATAGCGGTATACCTGAATGAGAATCAGCATTTGACCGAGCTGTTCTTGCAGAATGTGAGCTTATAATACTCTCAAGGGCCTATTTTAATTGTTAGTAGAACTTATTTTCAGGAGATCCTTCAGTCATCGAGACCTTCACGAACAGTATCAACTCCTCGCATATCGAAATGCTGTCTCTCGCCACTAACAAGGCCCTTTCTGATGATTTTGCGGGTGCATTCTTCTCCGGCCTACGGTCAACATATTTAAAGGAACTACATGTTTCAGCTACCGGCATCACGCGTCGCTCAGCTCCACACATCATCTCGTACATCTCCTCTCCCGAACGTTGTCACTTACGTACATTCAAGTGTAACGGCAACGTTCTCGGCCACAGTGCAGTGAAACGTATCATTTTTGCTATAGAAAAGAGCAATTTTGTTCTTTCCACCGTGGAGCTCTACTCCAACCACATGGCCACAGAGTCAGATGATGACGATACATCACCCGACGACACTGATTGGAAGGATTTAGAAAAGAACTTGCGCCTGTTCCTTTTAAGGAACATGCACCTCAAACGCGTGGCCGAGAAAGAGGCTCTAGGTCTTCTGCGTTACTCTCGAACCCTCCTACTTCCTACGAAATCGTCCGCCCTCTGTATACTACCCATCGAACTTCAACTTCACATTCTCTCCTTTCTCGCCCCAAGTCTATCGCCAGCTCAACGCATAAACGTCTGCACTTATGCCTCGACGTCCATGACGCTACCTCCGTTACTTCCCAAATTGAGCGGCTGCGAACCCAAGATGTGCCTACCAGATCCATCCAGTTTAGGATTTTCTGAGGGCGAGGGCAAAGTATGGGAAGTGCGTGGTACCACTGGTGGATATGCGGGAAAATGTCGTGATGCTGTTCTTTGTCATAAAGAACAGCAACAGACGAAATGGCTTGATGCTGTTGGGTGCTCGGCGTACGATGGAGGTTCCGCGTAAATATCTTTATTCAGTTTACAGGTAACGCAGGAAAGACGTCGCTATTGTATTAATTAGGCTTGTAACACTAGATATCATCGGAACACCCATTCTACTCGTTTGGTAAGGCGGAGTGGTTCATTTGATCGATGCGTCGGGTATACGTGATCTTGAAGGCCCATGCATCTTGCACCATCGCCAGCACTTCTTCGTCAGCAACCAGCTCGAATACCCCGTTCTCGGACCACGACCAAGCCAGCTCCTTCGGACTCTGATTGGGTCCTAGAAACGTCGCTACATCGCCATCTTTCAAAGGTAGGGGAGACACTGAGCGAAGCGTCCCGTTGATTGGATAAGAAAGAGAAATGATATAGAAAGCATCCGGTTTTGTAGTCTGATATGGGCTCAGCCATGGTATAAACTCAGGGACGGACAAGCTCACAAAGCGGAGGTCATCTTCCTCGGCGGTCACATACCAATACTGCGTGTCGTAGATTGCCTCCCCCCTAGAAGGATAGGATAAGTAATGGATACCATCGCGTACAGAAGACTGAGATTTTACGCAAACTTGAGCCATTCCCCAACTTTGAGCAAGGAAGTCCTCGATGGGGACACGACCGTTCCATTTGCTGTAGGACCAATATCGATGAGATAGTTGCCATTCTTCGACACAATGTCAATAAGCGAATGAAGAATGTACGTCGCATTCCGGTAATTAGCATCGGGGGTATCTTGATTATAACCATACGAGTAGGGATCAGAACCTTCACTCGATTCCCATTTTCGCAGTTCTAGCATGTGATGGTGGTTGAATTAGAGCAACCCGGAACGCGAATGGGAGCACGGCACGTGCTCAGGTGGGTTGTATCAGTGTATTCCGGGTTCTTTACAGACTGTTCAGCACAAATTGGTGACACGAATAGTACTCACACCAAAGTCAGAATAGTTCGCTCCGCATCGGGCGTTTGTGATGACTTGTCTACCGTTTCCTTTGGCCCAGTTGAACCATCTCGGGGCTACCATCTCTTGGTTCAGCATAGAAAGACACGAATATATCCCACCCCTACCAATATCCGGGAAAACGGTTGGCCCACCAATATCGCACCAAAGAATATCAGTCTCGTACTGATAAAACTGATAAAACAGCGCTTCCATCTGTGGCCTCATAATATCTTGCAAAAAGTCGTCCACTTCGATGTAACCTGTGTATGGCTCATGCTCGCTTGAATTGTATGCATTTCTAGAGATACGTGAGGTTTTAATCGCCGTATGTATGGGGGACAATGCACGAACTGCGCGAGACCACCGGCGAACCCAGTGCGTTGGAGAATGTTGTAGCCAGGCTATTCAAGTTATCAGAGTAAAACTCAACGGCCTTTTTCTCGGGTCTTACAGTTTCTTCCGCGTCCCGCCTGTGATACAGATCGTCTCCCCCATCAGCATGGCCGTACTTGGCGAAAGCAGGGTTAAACCATTCCGGAAGTGAGAAGTATAATTGAGGAACAATGAGAAAAACAAGATTGGGACCGTTTGCGTCAACGTACTCCAGTGTGCAATTGCGGCTGCGTTGCTTTGGTTGCATTCACGATCTCGCCGATGAGATCGCGTCTCAAAACTATATCGGAGGAGACTGAACATTCAGCGTACGAACTTTGACATACTTTGGTCCATGCAGGAGAGAGTTCCTATTAGATGAATTTCCAGTGTCGAACAGCGCAAAGCCATCGTGGTGCTTAGTAGTGATTACCTTCACACCGTTTTGATGAGCAGACAGTTAAAGCCAGACGATAAAGGAAACCTACAAATTATTTGGCACCTATATCGGCGACAAACTGGACAAATTCCGTCGCATTAAACTCATCTTGGAAGAAATCATCGTAGAGAAAGTCTTCTCCATATACTTCTTTGTGATGGGTCCACACCGCTGAGGATTCATTGGCGGGATTATGCTGCCAATACCAATACCATTCTGCGTACTGCGTCCCGGACAGTCCACGCGGGGACGGAATAGATGCCTAGCATTTTGTTATCAGGTAATGGCAGGGTTTAGAACACAAAACACGAAGCTTACCCCAGTGAACAAAGAGTCCGAATTTTGCATTATCAAACCACTCGGCACTCTCATGGGTCATCAAGCTGTCGTCTCCAGGGTAGAAATCGGGGATGCCAGCGATGGCGTCCCATTGATTCCCCACTGGTCGTCCATCAATGAGTACTTGGACGTCAGAAATGGGGGTTCCTGGCTTGATACTGTCCTTGTTGACGACGCCTACCAAGAAACGAGCCTGATCGCCTCCACGTAAACGCCTAATAGTGCCAGGAATCATCGTTTCTAAAGAGTTGGAAGCAACCACTATGCTCATATCATGTGTGATCCAGGCCTCGGCACCTGCTGTACTGGGGGCGAAATTGTTAAGCGTGATTTCGAAGAGTTGAATTTCGTTGCCATCAAGGGTTTGGAATCTGTAGAGTCGGTATCAATTTGGTACGCATCAAAGATGAAGGAGAAGGTCTTACTTGGTAGTGCTTCGCACGTTTTGAACGTATAAAGAGGGTCGTCGAACAGAGGGAGGCATGTCTGCAGAGATGAGGGTTATGGCGAACACATGAATACTAACAACACCTGTAAGCTGCGATGTTCCTGTGTCCCTGCATTTGAGAACGTCAGATCGGGTACCGATAGAAAGAGTGAAGGTTACTGACCTCGGCAAGACGACTCCAGTGAGAACCTTTGAGTTATCAGTATGATGCTGAAAAGTGAACATCCGTGAGATGTTATCTAGGTAGAGTCAGATAACTCCCGATTCCTCATCCATAATATGGTTAGGACACACAGTTCCTGCACGTCGTTCCGTTCGACAAGCCCATATTTAAGAAGGGCGCAGTAATAGGCCTAAAATATTTGATTATTTACACGTATTCAGGCAGAAATAGAGTACGTACCCGTTGGAAGGATTCTGCAGCCACCACGGTGCTACAACGAAACCTAGAAATTCTGTGGTATTGTCGTCATACAAGGCCATAAATTCGCCATTAACATAGGATGTTCCATCAGTTGCACCGAGAAAATTGAATGAGTGGTATTTTCCTGGCGGAACACCAATTATTTGGCCGCTGCAATTAATGTTGTCGTTAGTGGCAAGATCAGAAAAGTTGGGCAGAGCATACTGGTCGATAGTCAGCTTACTGAAGTGGTAATGGAGGCACTTTACACACAAGTATGGACTGATCAACCAGTGTCCCAGATGGTAAATATTCTGCTGGATAGGACCTATTATGACCATCAAAGCTTGCAAGCTGTCCATCTGTCGAGGCAGCCTTGTTGTTGAGGTAGGGTGTCAAGTCGACATTGGTTTGAAGACCAGCAACAACGCCGGCAAAGCATAAGAGCAAGATTCGATGCATGAAGTTCTCTCCAAGGTCTGCAGATGATATATCCAGGTTTCCGTGACTTTACATGCTTCTGGAAGCAGGTTGTGGCCGACCCGGACGGGCCGTCACTAGATAACATCGTGAGCCGATGATAGGCAAACTACATGATGCCAGATGGATTCAGTATTCTATTTCAGTGTGACATTCAATGCAAGATCCACAAACGGTGAAAGCCAAAAAACGAGGCGACAAACAGCCCAAGGTTGAATCTTGCAGTCAAGAAGTTCTCCATTTCAGAATGTTGTTGTTAGGGGGGACCCGTGCCAGACAATACAACTTCATGATTAGTAATGATCCACATTCAGTGAAAGTATGAGAATGACGAGCACAACATGCGACATGAAGACAAAATGCAAACGTCCTGAGATCAGAGAATCACAATGAAAAACGGATTTTTAATCTGGGTTCGATCGGACGATCGGTCCGTAGTGCCGAATCGGACCGTCACGTCTAGTATCTACCGCCACTGGTAGCTTGCAATCACTGCTGGGGTGGATCGGTATTTCGGAGGGGTCAAATACTTTCTTGTATTCTAGTCCGTTTTTTGTTCGTAAATCCATCTAAGGAAATATTGTGCCAAAAATAGTTGGTATTTTTGTCCATATTTGGGAGGGTAGGAAATACGTACTGAAATACCAACTGTATTTTGCAGATGGGGATTTGGAGTACAAAGACCAATCAAAAGCCGTCAGGTTTTGGTTCGGTCTTTGTGCTAGAATTACATAAGGGATTTGGGAACTAAATACCGATGCAAATACTTAACCCTTTGTCTGTTGGCTGACATAGGTATTTGGGCTGGTATTTAGTTCCCAAATCCCTTATGTAATTCTAGCACAAAGACCGAACCAAAACCTGACGGCTTTTGATTGGTCTTTGTACTCCAAATCCCCATCTGCAAAATACAGTTGGTATTTCAGTACGTATTTCCTACCCTCCCAAATATGGACAAAAATACCAACTATTTTTGGCACAATATTTCCTTAGATGGATTTACGAACAAAAAACGGACTAAAATACAAGAAAGTATTTGACCCCTCCGAAATACCGATCCACCCCAGCAGTGAATGCGGATCCTGACAAGCCTGCTCTTCATGCTTTGCAGTAGAAATCATTGTATAGTGACCATAAGAAATATTAAAACATCTAGAATTCATCTTAACCCAAAATCGTGGACAGAAAATGCGCACCAGTACACTGATCATAATTCATTTTGGCTCATATGACAAGTCACTTGAATCAGAATTCAGTCAGGAAGGTTTTGTGCATCATTCTGTAAACGTAGATACATTAAACTCAAAGAGGTGAACCCGAGGCATTTATCACGCATGTAACATCGCTCACTCAACAATTTATGTACACGCTACCACTGCCATAAAGAGTTGTTAGTTCAGCGAGTTTTATCCACTGCTAGTGGGGCTTGATCTCCTCTAGACTTCCCTTCAACGACTTGGTTTATGTCTGTGGTGTTCAATTTGGGATCCGAATCGTTCGGGCCATGTGTTTCATTGGGTTCTACCAAACATCAGTTGCAGTCGTAAACTTCGAACGATTAGCTCACTATATATAGAGGCGGGGCCTTCCTTGGCCCGTATATCCTGCTGCATCATAAGCAAGGCTGCGACTGTGAGCGTGATACCACCGGCGACTGCGAATGCCTAAAGTCCAATAGGTCAGAATGATATGTGATGACGGGACGACGTGGGACATACCATTCCAGGTCTCGTTTTGCTAGCCATCCTGGTCGAGGATTGTGTTCGAATCGAGGATAATCATGTCTAATTCTGTGCCTTTATAAACTGTTGCAGTCATGACATCACCTGGATCGTCATTATATCCTCTCGATCTGACGTCAGACTCGAATGCGTAAGTAAACTCGGCAAGATCGCGTTTGTGGAGTGCGCGGATCCCCAAAATCAGTACTTTGCGCAGATCAGATTCGCCATTGAACGGTACTTGGCCACCAAATCTGTTTAGTATTTTACTAGCTACCAAAGACCGACATGGAATCTCTAGCTTTCCCTGAACTATCCACCAAGAGATTATCCTAGACGAATAGTCAGAAGCTACAAATGAACCTATAGTGAAGACAACTCACTTCGCAAGATGAACCAAGACCTAGGTGAATAGTATGCCAAATGAACTAAGATAAATGAAGATTCAAACGACTCACCGGCATTGCCAATCCAACCAGGTTCCCAATAGACAAGACCAATTCCATGGTCATCAGATAAGTCCTCTAAGATTGTCTGTATGTCAGACATCTAGTAGCCTGTGAATTACATATCCTACTAGCATCATATTGAACATACCCAAGTTTCTTGTCCAGATGCAGATACAGAAATACTCTCTGTCAAAACGACCGAAGAGCACTCATAAGGCCAGTCGGTTTCAACAACCATTATGTCCTACGCAACTTTAGCAACCCTCCTTCCTGACTCCAGTATGATATGCTCACCTTCGCATATGTAGAGACCACGGTGTTCAGACTCGACTTCAGAGCCGACAAGGTTGCACCTTCGTCATAAAAGGGATAGAATGAAAACGCCATGACATCGACATCTTCAAGCTCCAGGGCGCCTTGATAAAAAATGTTCTTATAGAAATACAAGACACTGTCCTCGTCCCAGCCATTGGCCAGGTGAATCACGGTCTTAGTCGTTGACGACGCTTCCCGAACTGCGCTGACTGCCGAGTTGAGCAACTCAGAGAGCGGTTCGTAGCCATTGACTGATACCTCTCCAGTTGGCCAGAGAATACCACCGTTAATCTCGTTGCCGATCTAGACAGAAAGTTAACAAGGTTAAAGTTGATGTACGCAAGTAAGTATACCTGAATATAATCAATAGGTGTCCCTTGGTCAATGAATGCATTGACGAGATCAAGGGTGTATCTTTCCAGCACATCAATACATGTACACCATAAGGGAACTTGACTTACGTGTATATTGACGTGTTCAAGGAGTCCAAATCTTCATCCCAGGCAGAGGGAATTCCTGTATGAATGGTTACAACGATACGGGCTCAGTTTATCGCGGAGATAAAACCTTGTTTGGATGGGTCAGCCCCTTCGGTGATTATCAGCGGGGCACAAAAGCACTTCATATACTGTTACTTACACGTATCGCTATAATGCAAGTCAATCATCAATGCCATCCCAGCTTTGACGGCCCTTTTCGCCAGCGCAAGACCATAGTCTAGGCTATACTCGTCGTCGCTGTCACTAGTCCAAACCCGGATGCGTGCAATGTTGGCACCGTGACTGCTCAAGATCGTTTCAAAAGCTTTAGTGCTACCTCCGTCGGAGTAAGACGTCCCCGAGTTCTCCAAGTTGACCAAGGAAGAGAAGTCAGCACCGATGTAAGAGAGTGAATGGACCCCCATGCAGGGAGCCAGGAGAAGAAAAAGAATGGAAGAGAGCATCTTTTGAGAGAGGAAAGTCGATGGCCCTGATGTTATATAGCGTAGCGTAGAGATTCATCGCTGGCGAACGGCACAGTCATGGCAACAAGGAAAATATGATATTTGATCCGTGCCCTAGGAAGCGCAGTATGGACCATAACTAAGAACAGCACTGTCGAGACTGCAGCATGCGTTAGAAGATGGAAGGGAGCACTGCTATGAGAACGGACTTGAGGCTCCGAACACGCGACACTGGCCGCATTACGCGCCGCCGAATTGAATACAATGTGGGATAACCCTGGAGAATTTCGGCGCATCATGCATCACCAGCCAGCTGAGGGATGAGTCTCAAAGAGCCCAGAGGCTTGGCCCTGCCAGTAGAGGCGGAGATCACCCCCTACCGTGGGCCCGTCGTCACGCGTTCGACCGCTGTGGATTAACAACGGGTGATTGGAAGGGCCAGGTCGTCTTCTAGACGTGAGGTTCAAGTAACAGTGTATATACCACGGGAGATTGTTGGTGAATCCAAGCGCCTCGTACTAAGAAAGCCCATGATAGTGAGAAGCGACGAACAACGATTGAACAGCAATTGTCGGCCCGTGTTATGCCCAATCTGTCTTATTTATTTATTTATATACTGGGATTAAGTTGATTTACCAGGCGAATTAATTTTTTTGAACTATAACGCCTCTCATTGAACACCTCTGGACAAGTACACATGAATTTGTTCTATAGCAAGAAAACCGGTCGCGTAGTGTATACGATGCCGTATTAAAGAGCTCAAAGCTGCGTTAGAAGTAACCTCGGAATAGCGACAAGTTTAACTGGGGGTTCATCAGCGCCAGGAGTCCTTTACAACGGCAGCCACCTCACCAGGGAAGATTCTTTACGCCGTTATGAATTTGATGACCGTTGCTGACTATCGGTCGGTCGGCTGAGAAAAAAACATTCCGAGTTTCTGCTGATTATTGAAGTAGCAGCAGAGATCTTCCGAGACTATTACGTACACAACAATTACACTATCTACTTAGTAAAAAAATCAAGTAACCGAAAACCGTTCCTGTAAAGGATGAGACCGAGAATATCCACAGATAAGACCGACTCGGACGTACTCGTAAACTCCGCCCATGTATCTGCATGGCAGGAATAATTAGAACGAAGAGGCCCGCTACGATTCTAGGAAAAGAAAGAAAAAAGTCAGGCAAAAGATTTCCCTTTTCACTGTTTCCACTGGACATACGCGGCCTCGCAACCAAATGTTTGAAGGGCACCATGTGTTGCTGCCCAAGGAACTTGGAAATAGGCAACCGCAAAGCCTTTATTACAGTAGATGAGAAACTCAAGCAGCTATAGTAGATATTACATACCTCCGAGGACACGCACTAGATTTATCAGAGCACTGATTTCACCTTGGTGTTTCGGGAAGCAGTCGTTGCAATACGCGTCTGGTTGAATGTCGGTCCGAGGAAAGCGACGGAAGGTTGAATTACATACATATAGCCACGGTGTTGATCATGATAGCCAGCTCCGCAATACCCCAACCCATGATGATACCAGCAGTATCGAGATGATTCTGTATCGATACGCCCAAGGTGACGAAACCGCATATGTACAAAGGCAAAGCAATATAGCAAGCCCTTGAATCTGTTCAGTATAACATGATGATACCTAAAAATACAAACTCACCAAAGTCGACTCTCAGCTTCGAAGACACCATGATTGCGTCTGATACTCAGATTCATAATCCAATCATTCGTATACCGACCTGCCAGTTCACCCAAAAGTACAGATACCTACAACTCAGCCGTGGGGTTCAAAGCGAATAGGACGAGAACCTACAATCGGTGTACCATATGCTCCAGCGATAGCGTCCTGGCTCCAGTCGAACCCGACTGGTGGAGGGCTCCCCAAGAACACTGCATTCGTGACCTGCATGAAAAATAATCAAAATAAATTCAGAGACAGATGCTCATGCCGCACATTGATACCGATACCAAACCCAAATAAGATACCCTCAAAGAGCAGAATCCCAAGAAGGTGAGGCCGCCATACGACCTTGAAGGGTGAGGAGATTGATTCCGCCCAAGATACTCGGTACCTGGCCATTTTAACTCCGGTGATACCGACGAGTGTTTCGATTTTATAGCGAAGGCCCGTAGTGACTGGTTCTGGAACGGGTTTCACAGTTCGGTTATACATCCTAGAAGGCATTTAGTAGGGACAGGAAAATAATGGAAACATTGCACACGTTTCGTCCATGAAAAGTGCGATTAGGACGCATACGACGGCACTGTAGATGCAACCAATTCCATAGGCCCACCTCCAGTTTTGTCGGGCAACAAGGAAGCCAAAAGCGAACGGAGAGATGAACGGGGAGACAATGAATCCCATTGTCCAGAAGTTGAGCTAGGTCGAAGCTCGGCGGTGAGGAACGAAAAAGATTATACTCTGTTGTAACTCTACCTTCCGCGCTTGCAGGTGAAAAGGGTATAAATCTGTAACGATATATAATCCCTGGGAGAACATCTAAGAGAATTCAACACAAGGATCGAGCATATTCTGTACCGTGACTTGAGGTGCACTTCTACGGGATGCGTTCAGTTGAGGAAGAAAGACCAACAACAGACTCACCCGAAGAAAGCCGTCAAACATCTCATTCCTGAGGGGTCATCTTTAATTGAGAAGATTCAGAACGAACTGGATTTCCCACCAGCAAAAGTTGCCAGATTCGGCGCGAATGTACATCCCACGAGGAAGCCAAGCGCGAAGACCTGTTTGAAGAACCAAGACATCAATCCACGGAGCCGTACCAATAAATAAACTTTATCTCCGCCTGCGACCAAAATAGAACTAGAAGACGCCCGTAGCAGCGAATGAACATGACAGCGAATATTCCCCCCCACCCTTTGAACCGAGTATTAGTGGTGTATTGATCACAAGGATAGATGCATTGTGGACGGACCTGCCAGAAAGATGCTCCAACTGAACGCGTCGCTATTTCAGCTCAGCAGCAATTCAAACGGAACAAACCCACTTGGATGACAAATTGTTAATCACTCCGGTAGTAGTATCATATTGCTCAGCGAGCCGAAAGATGGACGCGATTCCTGCGGGAAGGCGCCGTCTGTAAGGGAAACGACAACGCAAAACACTAAACTGAAGCTATCACCTATGCCATTGTCAAAGTCCGGAACGATAGCGGCTAGCGTGATGATAATGAGGTGGATGCTCTTGCGTGCGTCGGTCCAATTCTGGGGGTCGCGCGGCGAATCTGTCGGTTGAGGCCACAGGACTTTGGTCCCGTCCCGAGAGAGCTTAAGCTTGGAGGCGAAAATCTCGCCGAATTCGATTTTCGCCTCTCTGCGAAAGGATCAGCCAGAGTAATCGTGTTGTGGGAAAGAAATTTGTTACGCTGGATCAATGACCAGTCTACCTGCATGTAGTTCGTGAAACGTAGCGAGGTCGACCTCTGCGGTGCCTTCCTGAACTTGAAGGACGACACTAGGTGCAGAGCCGATATCGTGCTTATCGTGGATAGACATGATGGTGGTGTGGATATATTACCGAAATTCGCCATCACATATACTCGGCTCAAAGTTGCTATGAGAAGCACGCGCCAGGGGAGAATCTCATGGGGTTGTGTTACGTGGGTCAGATGGGGGACGGTCCTTCGCAGTCGTCTCCCCAGAATGGGAGGAAGTTCCCGTCGATAATGCATCTTTGTAAAGCAAGTCAGGCAAGCGTGAGAGAAGTGACTATATCATCCTTGGCAATGATGCTCAGCGAGACTCGGAGGTTATAAGAATCCTGTATGGCTGCGAGACGTCGTTCAAGTCCGAGAGATAGGAGACAGAGGTCTCAAGTGACAAAGACAGGGATGAGGGAAAACTTTCATGCATACTTGTGTAGTACGAATGCGGGGAAACAAGAGGGTTTGCGGATGTAAAATAGCCTACGTGACCTACATTTTCATATTTAAGGACAGGTAGACCCCTTCTTCTATATATAGAAGGGACGGAAGCAGGTTAGCTGGGTTTCGTCTTAGCCTTAAATTATCCACCGGCAGAGGACGAAAGGTGGGGGAATACAGCGAGGACGAGGAACGTAGCCGAGGTGATGGGGGTCTGCACATTAGGATCAGGAAGGGGACGACAGTGATGAATCCATGAGAAGAAGGGCATTGGGGTGTTGGGGGAGGATGGTGGGCACGTTCATCGGATGGCGGAGAAGAGTCAGGGAAGGGAAGGTGATACCCATTGGCTGAGAGTCGACGAGGAGGTAATCGGCGATGAATCCGCGGGCGACGAAGAAGGAGCCGAGGTTGTGATCGATGATGCAGATGGACAGTGCTGAAGCCGCCGCCATGGGAGAAAAGACGAGGATTGGGGTGTCAGACCGCGTTTGGGAACGGACGTGTTTGGGTGCCGTTGAACTCGTCGGGAATAGCTGGCGCGCGAGGTGTTGTATTCGGATGAGCTTGACGCGAACGAAGTGATGCCGATGAAGGTATAAGCCAAGTCACGATGCTTCCTTTTTTGATCCGCCGCTTCGTGTTTCTTCAAGCTCAAACAGTGACAACAGCCATTTCATGTGTCACTCCCTCGGTGCTTGGGATACGCCCCGTCCCAGCATGCACTACGTTCTCTCATCAAATACAAGACATGACAACATCGAGGAGATTGAGAAGGGAGTACATCTGGAGGAGAATGCATACATCAGAGTAGACGGTCGGGGAAAGGGCGCGCACACGAGGGACCCCTGGTTTTTGGGTATGGTTCTTTTCGCAGCCCGTGCGAGTCCTCTGAAGGAGTCCACGCTACGTTACATGATCAGAACCCATGCAACCACCCCTAACTCATCAGACAGAACCATACGATGGCGTGATTGGCTTTGAGGATGGGAGCCAAGATGTATAGCAAGGGTTAGTGATAGCAAAAAGTAAGAGAAAAGACGCACTCGGCACCAACATATTCCTTGAATCTGTGGAGTGGGAGAGCGTAATACGCCGTATTATCGTGTGGTCCCCCATGGTTATAATGTTCAAGTCGACGCGTCGGATAGTCGTGCGCGTCCATACAGAGCCTGCCGCCATATGGGTTGAAGACGAGGATTGGGGTGGGAAGGTAGTGCACGTCGAGTGTGTGATGCAGAGTGTGTGCCGTATTCCCGCGTGGCAATAAGGAATAGTAATCCTGTTCTGAATCTATGGGAGGTCCCTACTCTTACACCTAATCCGCGACAGTGTACCGGCTAGCACGTGTGCCTACCATGGTTTAACATTCTTGCTTGGTTCGTGGTTGGTGAGGGAAATCGCCGTGAGGTTGGTTCACATTGGGTTTTTGGTAGACTCGCTAGCCAGTCGACGTTCGCAAGCTTACACCTCGTAATGCAAATTCCGTATACGGTTGTTTGGTTGTTTGGTGAAGTTTGACATGTTTTGACGTGAAGAGGTGAGCTTGTGAACGGACTGGGCAATACCGAGACGTTTTAGAGGGTCACACATTCTGTGACTTGGGACTTAAAAAAATTTCACTGATTTTTGTCTTGCAGTTTATTTTCAGCAGCCATTGCACTTCCCCCGTCTCCAATTTGCTCCAGTAGGGCCAGTATGCATAGTCTGCCTGTGCACAAATTATTTTAAATTCTATACAATCATGATTATGAAACCCTCTGCTTGCTCTCTACTTTGCCCTTCAATGGCTCTGTCCGAATGACAAGAACATGATGACCAAATGATGACATCATGGGAGCAGACAGTTGAATAATATTTTCCACGCAAGGCGACAAAAATAAACTGTGTAGATGGTTCAGTGGTAAACAAAGTATAAAATGCGCATGTATGCAATGCATTACGAGGGAAGGGAGTGGACAACTATTAAAACTGGGGGTGAAGATGTGAAATTTTTCTAAGTCCCAAGTCACAGAAAGCGTGACCCTCTAAAACATTGCGGATTTGCCCAGCCGCTTTCGCCCAAAAGTGATAGCGCAGCCACGTGGGTGAAACGCCGGCTGGTAAACGAGCCTAGGTTTTGGTGTTCCCGGGGGTCTAGATTTGGATTTGACGATACCGACGCGTTCGATTGCGCCGTGGCCGATGCATGCACGATGGAGATCGGAGGAAACGTTGTGACAGCATGTCACACTCTCTTTGACCACGGCTTTCATCGGCGTCGCTTTCCCCGTACGCGTAAACTCGCGCTTGCTTCGAATGGTCTCCAGCATTGCATTAGGATCGCGAGAACACAACCCTCTCTTCTCCCGAGTCCTCGCACGCCAACTATATGACGTCTCTCACCGGTCACGGCTCACCAACATTGTTTAACGATGAGCCCAGGTTTCTTGCGGTGCAAGATACATGACTCATAGCCCTGGCGAACATCCAGCAAACCATGGAGCAAGGAGCCCAAATTGAAGGGAGAGAAATGAACGATATCGTGCAGCCAGGTGCGTCAACACGAGAAGCACACCAACCGACCGGCACAAACTTGATGTGTACTACCCTCCCACTACACCCCGACCTTCGTCTTCTCATATGGCAGCGGATTCTACGCACGCTTCATAACCTCGACTCCTTCTTGTTCTGATTCATCATCGTTAACGTTACCCCCTCGTCGACTCGCCGTGGATAACCTCCCCTTTCCCGATGAACATCCTTGCCCTCCCAGATCTGTACTCCCCGTATCAAGCCTCTCCGTGCAGATACGAATATGGAGCGGAGGAGTGGGTTAGGAGGGACGTTCCCTGTTTTCACCCCCGCTCGGTTGGCACGGGCAGGGTGAGGAACTGGTGTCAAATTCGCGTGTACCTGTATTTTGTACGCCGTCCATCTCGGTGGTCCTGAATCGCATCGCATGGTTATTGATTTTCAATGCCCAATGTACAACCGACTCTGATTCAGTCTTAGTTCTCCGGCCTAACAGATATTGCGCTCAAAATTCACGCTTGCTCTTCGAGTCTGGACTATGGACTCTGGTTGCTTTAGCCCGAGTCGATAGGAACCCCCCCAAAAAAACAAGCCATATGTCTTCTCGACGCAGTGCTTTTGCTCGGAGTCGAACCAAGCAAGAGCGGTAAAGCATAGTACGCACACGTGCCAGCCGGTACACTACCATGGAGTAGATGTAAGAGTAAGGACCTCCCACAGATTCAGAACAAGATTATTACTACGCTAGAACTTGGCACACACGCCCTTCCACTCCGTGTCGCACACTGCCCTCCTCGCTCGAAGCGCAGAGACAGTTTAATTCCACGCTTTTCGTCATCAGCGCTCTTCAAATGTCGGCAACAGAATATCCTCCTGGCTGCGTATGAGGAAAGACCGACCGCCAAGTTGAATCGTCGAGACACACTAGCCCTTTCCGACCCCAAAACCCCAATACCTTTCGTGGTGTATTGGTTGTTAGCACCTGGCAACAGAAGCTGGGTTCGAATCCCAGACTCCCAGTACGTGAGATGTCTGTTTTTTCTTTCTTTTCAGCCGTGACGAATCCAGATTCCAGGCAGCTCTCTCAAGCACTGGCTCGGGAGCTATACTTATCCTTCTCATCCAGACGCTCATGGTAAAATTTGATTGAACCATTCATTTTTTACTTGCGTACTACAGATTCAGAATACAAAAAATGAACTTTTATTGAGCCTATACAGGTATGTCGTATACCTCGATAGTCCTGAGTGCACAGATACCAATTTCTGTCCCAGCGCAGCGACGTAGCAAGAACTCGAACCCTCAATATCAATATCAGTACTCTTGGGCGCGCGCAGTGAACATGGCACCTCCAAACGCAAACACCAAACCAACGTGAATGAGTCTGTTTTATTGCCCCTTGCACTCAAAAGGGATAGAGGCAAGTTATCCCTCTCGCCATTTAGCTGGGTTTCTAGATCTCAGCGTTCGTATCCACCGGCAAGTCGTGGAGGACGAAAGGTGGGGGAATACAGCGAGGATGAACAACGTGGCTGAGGGTTGCACGCTGGGGTCAGGAAGGGGACGACAGTGACGGATCCGAGCTGTGGAAGGCAAAGAAGGAACTGTGATGGACACGGGGGCGAACCCACTGTTCATCGAATGGCAGAGAAGAGTCGGGGACACCCATTGGCTGAGAGTCGATGAGGCGGTAATCGGGAATGAGGGCAAAGAATCTGCGGGTGGCGAAGAGGGAGCCGAAGTCGTGATCGATTCGGATAATGGACTGTGTTGAAGCCGCCGCCATGAGAGAAGACGAGGGTTAGGGTGCCAGACCGCGGAGTGAGAGTGTAGTACACGTCGAGCATGGGGATCGACGCGCATTTGGGAACGAACATGTTTGGGTGCCATTGGAGGGAGCTGACCATAACAGTAATACAACGTAGCGTCCTCAAATGATGTTGTTGCGGGTTGGTGAGCTGTCGGATGCATCGATGAAGATTCGAGGTGTTTGAAGCGAGCACGAAGTGATGCCGACGAAGGTATAAGCCAAGCCACGATGCTTCCTTTTCTGATCCGCCGCCAAGCTCAAACAGTGACAACAGCCGTTTCATCCGTCACTCGCCAACATCGAGGAGGATATTGAGAAGGGAGTACATCCGGTGGAGAATGCAATCATCAGAGTAGATGGTGGTCGCGCCAGTCTTCGAAAGAGTCCATGCTACACTCATCATGTACATGTATGCGCAATCCTTCAGTATCTTTGGGCTGTATGCATGTGAAAATGGCCCCACGCTGTCCAAGCCCAAACACCCAGCATCGCTGGTACTCGCTGATTCCAACAATGCCAGTACTACCCTCTGCTTAACCTCATCATCTTCGCCATAGTAATACAACCTGACGGAATCCTTCATATCCGTTGGCATTTCCGCAAACGTGTACGGCCCAGAGAGGAGGACCGTACCCTTGATACGGGGCTGCAAAGTGGGGGAGTACAGCTCCGGGAGAGCAGGGATGGTAATCAGGTTCATCGCCCCCGCAGAATGGCCGAGGACGTAGATATCAGAATCTGGGAAGGGAAGGTTATCCACGACCCACTGCATCGCATCCCGCACGTCCTGCGCTGCACCAGGGAACTTCACACCAGAGTCGACGAGGCGGTAGTCAGGGGCGATGGTGATGAATCCGCGGGTGGCAAAGAAAGAGCCAAGGGTGTGGTAGATGATGGACGCGGGGTCGGGGAGCGTGTGTGTGCCCATGTAGAATCCGCCGCCGTGTGAGAAGACGGGGATCGGGGAGGATCGGGGGTGTTGGAGAGCGAAGGTCTGACGCGTTTGTGGCGTGGGAGTAACAACAAAAGACATCTCGGTCCGAGATACCGCAACCAAGATCACGCTCAAACCTACCAACACCAACACCAACACCAACACACTAGGGTTGAGGGAAAAACCTCCAGGGGGTTGGCGGTCGGTATTTTACCTATGTGAGCCTTGGAGGGGGTTTTTTACGTGGTATTTTACTATGTAAAATACCTTGTCACGTGATTATATAATATATAATATATTCCAGTTTTCCTACGATTTCTTCGTTTTTCCAAATGCGGTCGGAGTCTCCTAAGAATTCAAGACACCATGTCATCGTCTCCCTTGGTGCTTCAGTGACCTATGAAAAGTCTTTGAATAATTATCCTTGAGTCTACATAGATCTACAGCCTACTGCAGCTGCTTTGTGGGTGAAAATACTTGCATGTGATCTCTGTATTTTACCTAGCTGAAACCCCCCTCAGGACCCCCTGGTAAAATACATGGTAAAATACTATGTAATTTACTGTAAAAAACCATTTTGGTAAATAACCTACCCTTTTTCCCTCAGCCCTACAACACACCAACACCTACTCTCCTATCGCAGCACTTTCCACTTTCCACTCTCACTGAACAGACAAATCCTTTCCTCTAAGCATCATTCTCACTGTCAAATGCAAGATCAGAAGCAGATTCTATTCCTGCCCAGATGATGATGCAAAGAACAGCCATGATAGGAGATAGGACTGGTGAGTGACTATCCCCTTATCTGCACTATTGCTTATTAATATCATGGCCATCTAGGTACCAATACATACAATGTATCCATCATAGAGCCTGAAGCCGAGCTACACTCACTTATTCATTCCCTTCCTCCCAAAATTCTGTCTGAGATATTTCTTCTCGCACTCCCAAGCTCATACAGCGTTCTCGAGCCTCTACACGCGGGTCCATGGCTACCAGGGCGAGTCTGTCACTGGTGGCAAGATGTCGCCTGGGGTTATCCTGCCTTGTGGTCGTCTTTTGTTCTAATAGATTGGGAAGCGCCACACCGAATACAAGAAGAAATCAGAGCAAGAATGGTCCAGGAGGCCCTTCAGTGGACCAGACAGAGTAAACTCTCCATGATGATATGGACGTGTCACATTTTCTCAGATACCATCGTTGAGACCTTACTGCAGCATTCATGACAATGGGAAAATGTCTCCTTTTTAGGCCCTTCCTCAAGTCAATGGACTCAGTCGCTATCCAATTCCCATCTGATCCATTTCCCTTCGTTGAGGTCCCTTTCCTTGGCTTACCATCGTTCTATCGATGACCTTGCTACTACCATGGGCATGTTCAAAGATGCACCGAACCTCCGATGTCTCTGATTGAATGTACCGGTGCCCTACTTTGACCCGAGCATGATTCTCTTTCCATGGTCCTGTATCACACACTTGGATATGTTCTTCCCGAAGTCAATCCGGGTAGTGCTGATTGTTAAGCTCCTCCATCTTTGTCTGAGTCTTGAAGAGTTGAAGGAGAGGATTGTGTTCTGCTCTGAAGCGGCCACCACCACCCCACTGATGCTCGAAAAACTTGGTTTGCTGAGCGTCACATCTCATTTGCTCCTGCATTACCTCACTTGTCTGGTATTGGAATACCTAACATTCATTATGCCACATGTCGACTATTCATTATCCAGTCTAATGATTTCTCAATTCTTCACCCGTTCTGGGAGTGATTTGCAGACCCTTGATCTCCAGCTAGTGCAAAGGGCCCTAGACCCAGATCAACTATTCTCATGCATTCCCCAGCTTCGCAGGTTGATTCTATCCATGGCAGGTACGGAAAACGACAGGGATCCATCGAGGTTTCTCAGGTGTCTCGATTCGGGCATGCTCCCCAACTTGTCTGTTTTTGAGCTGAGCGCAAACAGGCTTTTTATGGATGACATCTGGCTGGAAGGCTGGGATGAGTTACTGGTCAGGATCATCGATGGGCGTTGGAACATTCCTGAAGATTCGTGGGTTACTCGGTTGTCTCAGGTCCGTATCAGGTGCCGGAATCCTGCTCGTGTAGAGTCGGAATTCAAATGTGGTCAAGCCGCTCCAAAGCTCGGTGCTTTGCATGCTTTGTCGCATATTGATCGTCTGAAATCGTGCAAGGCTGAAGGATTGGATATCTCAGTCATTGCTGATGAAGGTAAACTTCGTTCTGAGGTCCTTGCTATTACTATTACTGACACGCTCTGTAATTAGAGATGGACGGACTGCCCGAGGAACGTGTTCTTTTATGATGCACTGGCAGAAGATGTTGTATCCAACATTTTGTGTTCTATTGTCTGTCTGTCAAGTATCCAGCTTTGCATAATATCTCGAAATTCATTCCAGTCACTCACATCATGGGATGTTTCTTGCATCTAGTGAACCGCTGAAATCATGTCTTTATTATCATTTCCACATCTCTGGTTAGCACTATTGAAGCTAGATTATACGAAATTCGACAATCAGCTCGGACTGGGAATCCTTCCTACTCTCTTGCTAGGACCGTGACCGTGAGAGGCCTCCAAGTCCCTAAATTTCTCTTCTTTCCGAGGGCGAGGGGAATAAGTACCTCTCTTTCCAGTCTCTCTTGAGCTTCTTCCGCACTCACTATACTCCATAGTAGTGCATCGGGGTTCAGCTACTGTTCAAGGGTTCGATTCCCATGGTGGAGTATTATTTGTCAATGCCACCCATTTGTTTTGATCCAAAAGGCCCTCTCTACTGTCTAGCATTCGGCCCTCTGTTGTGTGGTGTACGGTTATTGGCTCTATTATCATTTTCCACGGGTCACTCTTCCGCCGTGATTGCCTCCCTCTACAATCACACTAGGACGTGGGTCCGACTCCTAATAATCGGATGATTTCACACCTGTCCACATGCTCTGTGTCAGTTCCCGTTCGGGGATGCGCATACACATTTGTTTCCTCTTACTACTCAAGCTTGACTGTTCTTCCCTCTTTCTATCCTCTGTTTGAATTGTAACTACACAAGAAGATGGGTGCCCGATACCAAGTCATGTATCCAATTTCCAGATTACTTACTTTGCCCTCAACTCCTGTATGTTCTTTCCCGTCATTTCCAGAACGTCTAATCGTTGACTCTACTTTGTTCCCCGTAGATTATCAGCTTACACCGCGTGCTGGGAAACATTCTCCTTTAGTCACAGATCAATCGCCGCAGGAACAGTTACATCTGCTATAAGTATTTCTGGAAACACAGATGAGCCAGATCTCCAGAAGATTTATAAAGCATGAATGTTCATCGCAGACAAGAAGAAACGTCGTGCCAAAATTGAAGTTTGGATGTATTGTAAGGGAACCCCTGTCATCTAGGAGGGTGTCCGATCATGATAGATAGAAATTTTCAGCTAGAACTGTACCCAGAATTGTCCGCCGCCATTCCTGGGGTCTGTGAGACGTTCGGCGTTGTGATTCAAGCTCAAGGTTGATGTAAACGTTGATGACAAATGCCAACATGTCGCCGGATAGTCGGACCGTCCTCGACCGTTATCTAACCCATTGCCTTTTTCCTGCAAAATCTCAAGGTCCACAGCTCGGACTCAGAGTCCTTTCTTCTATCTGTCTCTCACTGGCACTGAACTGTTCAACGAGACTGTCTCCCCAAACTTCTCTTTTTTTCCGAGGGGACTATGTAACTTTTGAGCTAGTGCCTCTTCTTCCCAGGTCCACTGTACTCCAGTAGTGCATCGGAGTTCAGCTACTGTTCAAGGGTTCGATTCCCAGGGAGTGTTATATATATGTGAGGACTCCTTTGTTTTGATCCTCTAGCTTGCTGCTGTTTATCCTTCATTTGTAAGAATCGGCAACGACTTTTTGTGCAGTGTATGGTTATTGCCACCAGCTCTATTATCGTTTCCGCAGTGAATTGGCTGCGAACTTAGTTTGCCTCCCCCGGCCAGGGGATACAACCACACTGACCTCTTAGTACAGGATGCTGGGTTCGACTCCTAGTAATTGGATGATTGCACACCTGCTGAACCTGTCCACACTAGATGGCATGCTCTTTTTATCTGTGGTGGTGCCGTTCGGGAATGTGCATTTGTTTCCTCGTACTACTCAAGTTTGGCCGTTCTTCCCTCTTTCTATCCTCTCTTTGAGTTGTAGTTACACAACAGGATGGGTGCCCGATAAAGTCATGTACCCCATTTCCAGATGGCGACTACTTACTTTGCCCTCAACCTCCCTGTCGTTGCCAGAACTCATGATGATGTCTAATCCTCGAGTCTACTTCATTCTCCGTCGATTATTGGTCTACACGCACGTGCTGGGTTCGACTCCCAGGCAAGGAACGATAGTGTTGTTCGCACATAGGTTTTTTCTCGGAGACACAACTTGCAAATTAAAATGGTGTATTCGGAGATTTACTCACAGCCAATACACCCACCTAGTTAGATTCTTCCCGGAGCATCTTTTCTTGGTTCAGGGCTTGGATGTATGCACTGGTTTAAATTACTTGAAGCCGTCTCTTGTGGTATATTGGTTACCAGACACTGGCACTGGGTTTGACTCCCAGATCAAGAGATGATATGTTGGTGTCGTGGATGTGTTTTTATGGGTCCAATTAACACTGCAATACCACTTGGGATGTTACAATAACGTTCACGTTCAGGACATGGGGAATGTTGGATATATGCGCTGGTTTAAAATTATCTGCCATCTCCTATGGTATATTGGTTACCCGACTGGTGCAGGGTTTGAAGTACTCCCATCAAGAGATGATAGGTCCAGCTTATCGACTTGTTTTTATGCATATTTCCGACTAACAGCTAATTACCCCTCGGGATTTGAATATGCGCCCGTTATCTCAATCCAGAGACTTCCTTGCAAGAATGATTGCAAAGAAACGGGGAAAGTATTTGGTCGCAGTGAAGCGCATTCCTAGTGCATCGGTTGTTAGGGCCAGAAGGCAGGGTTCAACTCCCAGCCAGAGCGGTAACTTTGAATGATTGCACCATTTTGGGAGAATGGGGTTTAAATATTGTCCTATTTATTATTTTCCTTGTCCAGAAAACCTAACTGAATCTCTTTCAAGCGCTGGCGAAGCAATATGATGAAGTGCGTTGTATCAGAAAAGGATGACATGGTTAGTGCAGCTCGCGGCATGCATGAGTCCACTTGACTGCGTCCTCTGCCCATTCCTTGCCCTGCCCAGTCCCAAGCGCGAACATCAAGCTGATGTGATTATGCCCTTTCGCGGCAAACTCGTCGTATGACACCCTCAAAGCCGCGCCGAATTTCTCCATAGTGGGATGCAGGCAGGGAATGTCCCTCTCTCCGATACCTAGCAAGAGTCTTGGAGTCGGTACGGCACTCTCTGTTTCGCCTCATCATCTTCGCCATAGTAAAGCCTGAATGTGTACGGCACAGACAGGAGGACCGTGCCTTTGATACGGGGGTGCAAAGTGGGGGAGAACAACTCTGGGGGAGCGAGGACCGTAAACATGTCCATCAAGTGGCCGAGGACGTGGATGCCAGAATCAGGGAAGGGGAGGTCATCCATAAGCCACTGGATTGCATCTTGCATATCCTGCGCCGTACCAGGGAACTTCACGCTAGAGTCGATGAAGCAGTAGTCAGGGACAACGGTGATGAATCCATGGGAGGCAAAGAAGGAGCCGAGTTGTAGTAGATAATGGACAAGGGGGTGGGGTGCATGCGTGCGCCCATGTAGAACCCACCTCCATATGAGAAGGCGAGGATCAGGGTGTTGGGACACGGAGTGGGAGGGTAGTACACGTTGAGCATGTGCCGGTCGGTTGGGCCGTATTGGTGGGCCCCTCGCGTTGTCTGCTCAATCGACACACATTTGGATTTGAGGATGGGAATAAATGCTGCCTATGAGCGATATTAGCAGTAAATGAAACAGAAGGAAAAGGATGTACCCGACAGCTTCTCCCCATTGGCTTGGGCTTGGCTCCACTCCCTGGCTTGTTGGATGTCCTCGCGTGCATCTCATACTGCAAGAGAGTCTTCCTCATCTGCAATGATTATGACAGAGTGAAAGCTTGAGCTGAGGTCCGGTGACTCAGGCGGTAAGAAGCGCTGTATGCCCTGTACTACCCTCGTGAGATTGGTGTACGAGGAACGCATAATGTTGAGGACGGGCTGTCGGTGTTATGTCAATACAAATATGGTATACACTGAAAGCGAGCCTGAGCCTGCGGGACGGTAGCAGGTGCAAGAAACCAAGTCACATAATGGTCACAACCTATCCAGTAGCACCTCCACCCATCATTGAATACAGGACCATCACAAGTATGCGACAGAAAAATGCAAAACCCTCAATAGCACCCTGGTGAACTGACAGCTCCTATTTTCTTCCCATTCCTGAGCCTTGCCCTGCCCAGTCAACAGCAAGCTATGACCCTCGCAGTAAACTCATCACAGCCCTTCGAATCTTCATTGAACATGATAGACACTCATTACAGCTATGATATGATCTGAGCCTCTCTACGCACCAGGCTTTATCATGGCATGTTCGATCCCTACATTATAAAAGATGCAAAATGGCCAACTAAGCTTCAAGCATCAGTGCATCAGACTCTAATACCTCATCTGTAGGAGAGTGAAAAAGAACTTATCTCATGACATTGCTTCCCTCCATTCTCTAACCAGGAGTTGAACCCAGCTCACGTGCATTCTGACCAATAGGCAAACAGACGCGTGCGAAAATGCAAAATGGCTTCGGGTCCTTGAACACGGCATCTAACTCGGCCTCTGACTGACTCTTCTACATGAATGCCACACCGACCTCGTCACAACTCCCAAATGCCTTAGTTCTCAGGCCTAATAAATACTATATCACGCTTGCTCTCCGACCTGGACTCTGGGTGCTTTAGCCTGAGTCAGTGGGAACAGCAAAAACCAAGACTTGTGCCTTTTCGATGCAGCACTCTTCAAGTTACTCGGAGTTGAACCGGTAAAGTGTATTGGTTGTTGCGCACGGAAGCTGGGTTCGAATCCCAATACGTGAGATACGACCTGTTTGAGACTTGTTTTTCTTTTCAGCGGTGATGAGTCCAGGCATCTCAAGTGTTGGCTCGGGAGCTACTTGTTCTTCCCATCCAGATGCCCATGATTGAACTGTTCATTTTTACTTACGTACGAGATCCAGAATTCATATGAATTGAACTTTTATTGAGCCTATACAGGTATGTCCGAGTCATACACCTCGATGGTCTTGAGTGAAGGTTGATTGCACAGATACCAATCTCTGTCCCAGCGCAGTGACGTGGCAAGGACTCGAACTCTCAATATCGATATCAATACTCTAGGGTGCGCGCAGTGCTGAGTGAACATTGCACTCCCTCCTGATGACGTCCTCTTCCCGTCCCAAACGTAAACACCAAACTGGCGTCACTTCATCGCCCTGCAGGATTTCTCCATGGCGCAAGATATCCCTCTTGCCAATACCCAGCAGGGTTTTGTTCTGTTTCGCCTCAGCATCCTCAAAGCGTGTATAGTAAGACGAAAGGTGGGGGAATACGGCAAGGATGAGAAACGTGGCCAAGGGTGATGGGGATCTATAAGCTAGGGAGGTAAAGAAGGAACTGAGATGGATGCGAGGGAGAACCCACTACCATATGAGAAGACGAAGGCGGAGGATTACAGGGCAAGGATAGCAAACATATTCATCGAGTGGCCGAGAACAGTCGGTTGGGTCCCGCAACTGAGTCGATGAGGTGGTAATGGTGATCATTGGCCACCATGAGAGAAGACGAGGATCGAGCACGTCGAGTGTGCGCTAGTTTTAGGCCTTACAATCAATGCGTGACTGGGAATGAACATGTTTGGTGCTGTTGGAGGGAGTTAGCCATAACAATATGTAGAAAAGAAGACACACTCTGCACCAAGATTTATTGACTCCCCTCAATTTGGGCTATTTGTTCCATGGTTTGCTGGGTGCTTACCACCATTTCCCGTGCATCTTATACCACAAAAAAACCCATCTCATCCTCAAATGATGCACGAGATGTCGATGATATGGCAGGATTGGGGATGGGGATCATTGAGAAGTGTCGAGTCAGGAAATATAGTTAGCTTCCTTTTACGATCCACCGAGTTCGTTCCTTTGCTCACCGCATGTATGAATCCACTTGACTATGTCCTCTGCCCATCCCTCGCCCTGCCCAGTCCCAAGCGCGAACATCAAGCTGACGTGATTATGCCCCCACGCGACAAACTCATCATACAACACGTTCCTCACCTTCAAAGTCATGCCATAGTGGGGTGCTGGCAGGGACTATACCTCTCACCGATGCCCAGCAGGAGCCTCGGAGCCCGGTACTCTCACTGATTCCAACAACACCAATGGTACCCTCTATTTCACCTCAACGCCTTCCTCGTAGTACAGCCTTCATATCTGCCAGAATATCCTCAACCATGTATGGTCTAGAGAGCAGGATCACATCATTGATACGAGGCTACAAAGCGGGGGAATACAGCTCCAGAAGAACAAGGAAGGTGAACATGTTCATTGCCTCCGCCGAATGGCCGAGAACATACATATCAGAATCGGGGAAGGGGAGGTTGCCCACGACCCACTGCATCGCGTCCTACACATCCTGTGCTACACCAGAGAACTGCACACCAGAATCAACCAGGCGGTGGTCAGGGACGATGGTCATGGATCCATGGGTGGCGAAGAAGGAGCCGAGGTTGTGGTATATGATGGTCACAAGGGCGAGGAGTGTGCATACGCCCATGTAGAACCCGCCTCCATATGAGAAGACTAGGATTGGGGTGTCGGCACGCGGAGTGGGAAGGCAGTACACGTCGAGCATGTGCCGGTCAGTTGGGCCGTATTGGTGGGTCTCTCATGTAGTCTTCTCGATTGCCACATGTTCGGATTCGAGGATGGGAATGGACGCATTTAGTGCTGTTGAAAGAGATTAGTTATAGAAAAATGTAGGAGAAAAAAAGACACACTTGGCACCAAGATATCATTGATTTCTCTCCATTGAATCTGTGTGACTTGTTCCCTGGTCTTCTGGATGTTTACCACCGCAGCCTGTGTATCTTATACTTCCCAAAACATGCCATCATCCCCAAGCGGTATAGTGAATTGTCGTTGCAGAATTGGTTGGTGTCAGTGAATTGTGATTCATGACCCCAACTCGGATGAGGATGAGCAGTGAGAGGCACCGGGCTCGGACTCGATCAAGTCAGCTTCATGAAAACAAGGAAACGAGCACAAGTTTATGGGGAAAGTGATGCCAACGAAAGTCGTGTCCAAGGTGTTCGATGAAACTGCAAAGTTGAAGCTGAAGCCCAGTCATGGCCAACGTCACAATGTTTCCTTTTTTGATCCAGGACCGCTCCAACATCCAGTCGCATTCTTCTTTCAAAGTGACAATCAGCCAATCCTAGCACCACTCATTCAGTTTTTCTGATAAATTGACGAGTGATGGCCACACGCCATCTGTGCGGGCTTGCAAGTAGTATAATGATCCTCACCGTTGGTTCCAAGGTTTTTTTTTTTTTCATTCGCTGTTGGACCTAGGGCCCACAGCACATAAATAAACATTAGCATCGACTGTCCTCATCGGTGGACATGAAAACCCAGGTATACAGCTATAGGACCGGATTGATACCCTCCTCTTCACCCGTATTCCATGTCGGGTTTGACTAACCGGAAACAAAGCACCCCATATGCTGGGCACTCCCAGCGAGACAAGTTGAATAAGCTTCATGCCGTTTTAGTCACATTTTTGGTACACACACCCCAGACCCAGTTGTGTCGAGTTCAAATCCCTTCGTGGTAGAAACTCACAAGACTGCACACCGGCTTTCACAACAAACTCTACCCCTGGGTGAATACAGGGAACGTCCCTCCCAGCAACACACAGTAAGAATCTAACCCAACAACCCCTCTGCTTGGTGTCCCCGTCATACATTCTTTGTATTTGTACAGTACAGAAAGGTTCGATACGGAGTTGGCATTTCAGGGTGGAGGGGGACAGATCGAGAGTGGATCGCGGCCGAGAACGTAGATGTCAAGAGTCGGGGAAGGGATGATCGATGTCGATGAACAATGGTAGATAGAGAGGTAGTACACGTCAAGTTTGTACCGGTTGCTTGGACTGTATTGCTTCTCGATCAACGCACATTAGGATTCGAGGATGGGAACAAATGTGTTTAGTGCTTTTCAAAGGTGTTAGCTATAGGGAAAAGTACGGGAAAAGTACCAAAAAGTAGGAGAAAACACGCACCCAGCTGCAAGATATCTTTGATTCCTCTCCCTTCGATTTGGGCTATTTGATCCATGATAAGATTTGTTAGATATTTGCCACCATTACCCTATATCACAAAAGAGTGTGCTATAGGCGAGCTGCCATCCAGGCAGCCTGACTCACGAGGACGAGCAATAAGAAAGCGCTGTACACTCCGTCTGAGTCCCCAGAGAATGTAATCAGTGCATGAGGAATATGGAGACTTGGCTGTTACATGAATGAAAACTGGCGATGTACACTGAAAACGAGCCCAAGCCTGGTCCTGCTGGTTGGCAGCTGGCTTCAAACTGGAACTGAAACTGAGTCATGTAACGGTCACATAGCCCGGGCCTGAATCCTTCATCGCCATCGCCTCTTCCTTGCACTGCCACCATATACTGAATATCCTGCTGTCACCTCTGGCAGGGGGATTTGAAATAAAAGTAGACCCCCAAGCCCTAATTATATAGCCATCAAATGGGCCTAACAGGCCTGCCTCACCATGATGTTGTTGCAACTGCAGCCTATTTACGCGTGTAATTTTGCAATCTAGAGTGTTTTACATGCATACTGAGAGATAGTGAGTGAGCGGACTAAAACTACATGTCGACACTAATGCTACGTGGTGCAATGATATGGAATATAACTTATGGCATAAGAAGCAATGGGATTCTAAACAGGACTTAGTCACAGCACTGTACCTGATGGGCATGCATGATGAGAAGGCCAAACCCTATACCCAATGCCTTAGGCTCTAACTTACAAGCATACTCGTGGGAGCTAGATAAAACCTTGAAGATTGCACTGACACTGAGAACACTTAGCACGCTCGCTAACCATGACACGCCGTACCTGAAAATCCAGGGAAATCCTTAAGTGAGGTGACAGATATCACCAGCACGAGTTTGGGCAATGGGCTTCAGCCGAAGTCTGCGAGCCCACGTTCCATTGTTCTGAGTCCCATTGTTCGAAGACTCACTTGTTGCCATGTCTACGAGAAGCCTCTGTGAATCCAAGAAAGAAGTCCTGAATGACATACACCAGAACTGATAGTTCCATGCGCCTAGACCTGTCAGTTGCTAGAGAACAAGCCTGCAGGTGTCGGGAGAGCACCTCTTGGCATGTGTTTAGCGAGCTCACTATAGCAATGAGACTAAAACTGGGAAGTCCGACTCAGATGCTCAGTAAGGCGGCGGTGGCAACATGCTACACATGTAGGAGTCTGGGTACTGCGCGATGTTTGTAATTCTAATTCCCCTGTAGTATAAGTAGGCTGGTTACAGTAGGTAGAGGCCAAGTTTTGAGCCCCCGAGTTCCCATGCACACGTTGAAGGTGGTACCATAACAAAGGACCAGTTTGTGACTTTGAGCTGTGCATAGAATTAGCGAGCTCACTCAGAGAAATACGAGATACCCTTTTGATAAGACTTTTGAGAACTTAGTCAGAGTGAATACGAATCAGTGACGCTGTTTCTGTTCTGTTGAGTGTGATAAGTCTGTTTGGAGAATGTGTTGAAGTGGAAATCTGAGATCTGTTCTGTTCTGTTCTGTTCTGTTCTGTTCTGTTTCAGTCTGTTCCATGTCAGTTCTGTTCGAAGTTCTGTTTCTGAATCTGTTTCCGAGTGCTTCTGAAGTGTTCTTGAGTTGAGATAACCTGCTGGAGTTAGTTGGAGAACCCCTACATACAGTTGTGTAGTGAGTGGGCTAAGTCAGTGCTTACCTGTGGTGTTCTTTTAGCGAGCTCACTAAAGTTTCGGCATGTATTGCCTCTGTTTCTGTTGGGATCAGTGTCCCTTGTGTATTATAACTCAAATCGGCCTTGAAGGTTGCGTCGCGCCAGTGAACGACCTTCCTGTAAAAAGTTCCTAGACTTAGGAATTCATTAGAGAAAGCTTAGCTTCGCTAAGAGTGCTGAGAATAAGAGAAACTCTTTGAGATATTGAAGTATAGTTGGATCGCATTAGAAATAATCGCTCTCCCTAGAACTTACGAGGGTGATTGTAGTTTGTGTAGTTGTGTGAGTGTGTGTGTGGGTTTTTGAGGTTCGCCTTCTAGCCCACTCACTATTCCACAGGTGCCCACAGCCAGCCTCTTCAATGTTCATGCCCTTTGCCCCATATCGGGCTGTGAAATCTTGCCGAGTGTCAGGCACCGAATTGTGAATGATGTTCCTCTCTTTCAAATATGACATTCCCTCCCCATTTCCAACCTGATGATCCTCGACCTTCAGCACCATTGTGGCGGGATGTTCATAATTATATTTTCCAAATACAATCGGTTTTCTTTCATATTTACTCCAGTGACGCATCTGCATTACCATGATGTCTTGGACACTCAAGCTCTCTCCAGTCAAATGCAAGCGTGATTGCAAGGACCCTGCCAAATGTGTCGGTGATGCCACATATGACTACGCCAGACTATTGCTGCTGAAATGGGTCAGGGAAGCCAAGGAGCATGCACATCAGCAGGTGGCCAGTGAGAGCGTGGATGCTGCTGATGACAAAGGAGATGGTTGGGAGTCAGACAATGAAGCTTCAAGCTCAAGGCTCGATGTTGAAGTTGAGCTTCCACAGGCTCATGACCTTGAGGATGGCAAGGACAAGCGGCTGGATGTTGATACACCCACACCCATGAAACCCCACTGCATGCAGCCCAGTGGGTACATCCAGAATTTGTATCATGATTGGAGGGCACTTCTGCTGCACCTGGTCAGACCGTTGGCCTCATTTCAGAAAAGATCCGCTTTAGACATTGGCCCCCCTCCCTTGCTTTGCAGCACTGGAACTTGTGGGAACTTCCACAAACAATGCAGCATTTTATGCCTGTATTGGAACCATAGGTATTGGCAGCATGAACTCACAGATTCCATACTGAATAGCTCATTGCAGATTTTGAGACCAGAATATTTGAATACTGCTGATTGCATACAGAATCCCTGCCTGTAATTCTCGTTGAGAATGGTCTATTCCCTACCTCACCTTGGGAGCCACACGTCGCAGTGTCCATCAACTTGCTCAACCTCTATCAGTCCTTATTGGAACATTTGGGAACATTGAACTCTGCATTTTGCTCAGCATTGCAAGACATTTATGTGAGCCATGGGTTCTGGATGCTTGATGCAAAGGTAGGGTAACTTCCATTACTTGTTCAGACCACTTAAAATCCATATTCCAGGGTGTCCCAATGCAAGAGCCCTTTCGTCATGGGTTTGGATATGCAACCAAGTGGTATGGATGTGTCAGACTCGCTTTGGAAGACAAGATTGATTCCATGCTCTCAAACTCCTGTGCCAAGATCCCCAATTCATTTGCAACTCCAAATGATATACAGCCATCAACACCAGCTATAAATGTTGACAATGGTTCAGTGTACAGCTCTCCAGCCTATGGGAACCATATCAATATCATGCTGAGTTGTGGTTGATGTTTGGACCTTTTGCAACAGCAGTGTCCTGCTTGTTTTTCTGGAACTCGCTTTGGACAGGGCTTTTCTGAGTGAGTACTGTGAAGTAGTATGTGGTATTCGGACTCTCACATTTAAATAGAGGTGGTGATGTCCATGTTGCTGTTGACTGCAACTTCCATCAGCGTCACTGAACATCAGCAGGAGACTGCCCACACTTCTATGACCTCAGGTATATCCTCTCCAAGCATGAAGTTGATGAAGCTGGAGTTTGTATTGAAATTTCATGCAATGCTGGTGCCAAAAAGAACTATTCACCCAAGATTCCAGACATTGCTGTTGATGAAGATGAGAAGTCATTTGATGCTGCCAATGAGAAGAAGGAGAAAACTCATGGTGGACATTATAATGACACAGGCTTAGCTGTGCTGGTGTGTCATCATGATGTTCCTCTATTCCTTGCCAATGTGGATACTCCTGGAGAGCAGCAGAAGTATGCTGTTGCCCTCATTGACAAACTTGCCTCTCATCTGCCTGCAGCTGCTTCTATTGCTGTATTGTACGATATTGGATGTGTAATGGATCAAAGCATCAATCTGGTATGATATCTATTCTCTAATCTTCTCCGAGTCTCAGCTCCTGATATACACTCTAGTATGACATCTTTCTGCCAATGTTAACTGAACGACTTGTCTTTGCAACCTCAGTGATGCACTCATATGGGCACCAATGGGCTTGTCAGCTAGTATACAATCCCAGGTTGACAGACGGTTTGGGGTTGACAGATGGCAAAGGTGTAGAGCAATTCTGGTCATGCCTTTGGAAGCTCATAGGTATTACTTGAAGTTCCATGGTATGAATCTCCAAGCAATAAAGTCAAGTGAAGATTGCTGACAATCAAGTATATATAGCATTGACAATGGATCTATCTCTTTGATCATCAGGTGGCTTTTACAGCAAAGTCTATTCATGAGGATCTTGGAGGATGGATACATTGGAAGGTCCAAGAAGGTGTAGAGAAAAAGGGTGCCAAGGCACATGCTGACCTGGAATCTTGTGGGAAGTCAGTCCCCTTCCTGTGGCAACAATGGGCAGACCAACGCCAGACACAGACATCCATACACTCACATAAGTCAACTTGTTTATTGGGGGTGCTTGATATAATATTTGGTATCTAAAGATGCCCCTGCTCGACTGAAGAAGGAGCTTGATGCTATTCTAATGTTACAGGTGCATGTCGACACTGTTGAGTCTGCCATCCAGGCCACTCAGACTGCCCTGAAGTCTTCACCAATGACTGTATCTCAGCTGAATTTCAATTTATTGCAGCTCTCCTATGTTCATCAACAGCTTTGCAATCAGATCGACCAGCTCTATGCATCTCTGAATGTCAGCCAGTCCTTCCCTGAGTTAGCATCCCTCAACATCACATTTGTACAAATGTTACTTCTTGCATGCAACCTCAAGATGAATATCCACAAAAGAGCAGTTGGAACCTTCTTTGAATGGGACCAGCTTGACCAGGTGACTGGCAGATGAGAACAGGCACTTGGTAAGTATCATCTATGCCTTAGAAGCTCTTCTGATGTTCCACAGGAACAAAGCTTCACCAACAAACATGAAAATCAATCAGTCGCTGCAAGCCAGCTCTCCTTGCAGCTATTCGGAAGTTCAATGGGTATGTTGGAGAGCTGGAGCAACTTGCAACAGAGAAGAATATTCAGTTCCCTTTGCCTTGCCGCCTGTCAATGGATTTGGTGCATCTCAGAAATGATGATGACCTCATGCAAGATGTCTGGATGCAGGTGGTACCCACCGAACCACCTGCATGGCTAGTGGATGTGAACGTCTGGCAGGAAATTTGGGTGGTGCTCTAACTCAACCGCTGTTTGGAGGAACGTCATCAACTCAGGTGGGAAGCAGACAACCTGCTTACATGGTTTGAATGGGAACTTGTTGCTCTGCAAATATCTCTCCAGAACATTGAAGCAGGTAAGTAGATTCTGGCTGAAAGATCAAGCCGCCCATTTATGCTCTCTAGATTCACCTTTCCTCTTTCCACTGAAGCGTAGATACGAACAAACATGTGCACTTCAGCACCAATGGAAGAACCCACTTGTTTCCGATATGCGCTGGCATGCTATTGTTCAATCTGCACTGTGGACTGCACATTCTATATGCCATGGAATCTCATCTTCAGCCATCCACTTCATCTCACCTACCATTGTTGCTGTTCCTGGGATATTCTCAGATATGCCTGGCCAGACCTTCACCTCAATACTCAGAGAGTTCGAGAGTGACTATGATGATGAAGACAATGGGGACACTATCTCAAACGATGAATCAGACTGCCTTGCAGACATTCTTGATGATCTTGACCCAAGTCTGAGTCCATCTGATGTTACATGTGAAGTTCCATCATACTCAGAAAATGATACCATCTCAGTGACATCCAGTGCTGATGATTCCGAGTCTTTCAAATGTCAACAACCAACTAAATCAACTTAGATCAACTAAGGATCGCCACTTGCACTTCGGTGGACGATGCTCTTAGAGGTCAAAGGAGATTTGAGTAAGTCGATCGAGGACTTAGATAGTCACGAAACAGGGAGCTTTGAGTTGGGTAGAATAAACCTTAGCTGAAGCTGGGGTTTAAGCCAGCTGAGGCTCTACTTAAATACACTTGGGTACACTAATAATAGTATCATATGAGAGTGTCTGTGATGATTGCATATGAGTAATCAAGCTGAGTAAAACGAAGAAAAATGAATAAACCGTAACATTACCCCCTCACTAAGACTCGTTCGTCCTGAATGAGTCCTCAGATTCCCACTTGTCATCGTCCGAAGTTGAATGTTTGGATTCGGAATAAAAGGATGGTATGTCATCCTCATCTTCATCATCTGCATTCTAATTTTCATGAATCCATTGGAGGTTTTGTAGGTTGACCTCTTCCTCTGAGTCGTTATCGTTCTGTAACGGTAGGAAATGGAGTTTACTAATTGCGTTCTCCTTCTGTGGTTGGGAGAGTCTTGGGCAAGAGTCTCCTCCTTTCGCCTTGGTCAACCTGTCCAGCCATTCATCCAACTAGTGCATCTGATGGGGTTTGTCGCGGTTATCGACGACTGCAATTTCTTCCGAGTGCCTTGTATTTGAACATTGGGATGAATAGATGGTCTCAATATCTGTAATGCAAGGGGTGTCAGGCTTGTGGTATGCCGTGGTATGATTCATGGGTATTTTATCATCGATCCCGACTGCTTTGCCTTTGCTGTTGATTTCCCATTGAATTCTTTGCAGGCGGGCTTCATATTCGTTTACCAACTCCTCCGCATTGGCCATATTGGATCGCTTTACCCAGGAGTTTTCTTCCTGGGGATATCCCTTCCACTTTACCAGATATTCCATTATCGTGCGACATGTCCACCCTCGTCCAACAACTTTGTCCCTCTGCTCCATAATTTCCTTGATCTCATATTCTTCTTCATCCTTGATCAACTCCGGAGGTGGTCTTTCGGGACATGGTTGATTGGGGAATTTGGGAGCATGATAAGGAGTTAGGAGAGACTCATTGAATCGGTTATGAATCTTCCATGTGACCGGGAGTTTGAGCTCATAGGCTGAAGCCCCTTTTTTGGCCGTGATGGCGAAAGGCCCTACTCGTCGATCTCCAAGTTTCTTGGTGGGTCGAGGTAGGTTTAGATTGGTAGAATCTAACCATACCTTGTCACCAACTTGGTATTCAATGGATTGGTCCTTGTGCTTGTCGTAGGCTTTTTTTCATGGATTCGGCTGCCCATTCCAAAGACTCCTTTGCCTTCTCTTGTACCTCCTGAATACCCTGGACCAGTTTAGAGGCGGCTGGGATGACATCGGGATGCTGGGCAGTCTTAATGACTTGCCCATCCCTTCCAAAGACCGCTTTATAGGGAGAAAACCCTGTCGCTGAGTGTTTTCTGTTATTGTGCGTGAATGCAGCTAGCAATAGCCACTCACTCCAGTCATCTTGTCGATAGTTCATGAACATCTTGAGGTATTTTTTGATTTCTTGGTTTACCCGCTCTGTCTGCCCATCCGTCTGGGGGTGGTAGGCCGTGGATGGGTTGCCTGTTACCTGAATAAGGGTGTAGAACTCCTTCATGAACTTGGATATGAAAACACTTCCTCGGTCTGAGATGACTTTCTCGGGCATTATTCCATACGGTACATAGATGTGGTCTCGCAGAATTTTAGCAAAGCTGAGGGAAGTGAGCTCCTCGGTGCACGCAATCGGGATAATTGTCTTGGAGAATCTGTCAACTATGACGAGGATCGTGTCATAGCCTTTGGAATTAGGGAGCTTGGTGATCATGTCGACGGAAATATGGGTCCATGGTTTCGTCGGTATCTCGTTTGGGTACAAGGGGGCCTTCTTTGGTCGGCGATCTGCTTTGGTTCATTGACAAACTTCGCACCCCTTCACATATGCTTCTACCTCCTGATGCATTCGAGGCCACCAATAGTCTCATAGGATGAGTTCCTTGGTTTTCTCTATGCCGGGGTGTCTGGCCGTTATGTGGTCATGTCGTAGCGCTATGATCTCTCCTTGTAACCGGCGATCTAGAGGAACATAGATATGTCTGTCATACCAAAGTAGTCCTTGGTCTCGAGAAACCCCCTTTTCATGGTTGAGGGAGTCAGAGATGCCTCGATCCCATTTGCGAGGGTCATGGGTGGCCAACTTGATTCTTTCGTGCAATTCTTCCTGGGTGGGCATGACCAATGCTCGGAAATGTTTGGGCTTTAGGATGGTTATGTCTCTGTTGTCTTCCTTGCCCTGGTCATGGTCCGCTTGCCTAGACAGCAGATCCACTTTACGATTTTGAGCCCCAGGCTTGTGGTGAAGCATGAATTGATATTCTGCTAACTCCGTTACCCACCGTGCCTGCCTGCGATTTAATTTTTGCGGTTTGCGGAAGTACTGTAGGTTGGAATGGTCAGTCCAGATTTCGAAATCCTCTCAGGCTCCCATGAGGTATTGGTGCCACTCCTCCAAGGCAATCATGATGGCAAGTAGCTCCTTGTTGTAAATTTCATAATTGCACTCCATGATGGATAGGGCTTTAGAGAGAAAGGCTACTGGTCGCCACTTCTCATTTTGCCATTGAGATAGTATGGCTCCGATTGCCCCTTCGCTGGAGTCCACCTCCACTCAGAATTTCCCCTCGTCTAATGGTATGGCCAGCACCACGTCTTCGCGGAATAACTCCTTCAATTTTTCAAAGGCTTTTTGTTGAGCCTCCCCCCATTTCCATTCAACCTTCTCCGTGAGTGAAGTCAGGGGTTTAACGTGCTTGCTATAGTCATGTATAAACCTTTGATAGAAATTACAGAACCCCAAAAAGGACTGCAGTTCTTGCTTTTTGCAGGGAATGGGCCACTCCAATAATCCAGCGATCTTGATGGGATCCATTCGAATCTTTCCCTCGCTAATGATTACTCCTAGATACTCCATCTCTTCGACCTCGAATTCGCATTTTTCGGCTTTAAGGAAAAGGTTATTTTCCTGTAACCTTTCTAACACCTTTTGCATTATGCGTTTATGTTCTGTCTTGGTTTTCAAAGCAATCAGGATATCGTCCAAATACACAGACACCTCTCCCGCAGCGATGAGGTCTTTGAAAATGTCGTTCATCATCCATTGGAATGTGGCAGGGGAGTTCGTAAGCCCGAAGAACATTACCAAGGGTTCATACAGTCCTTGGTTGGTGTGGAAAGCCGCCTTCCATTCATCGCCTTGTTTTATCCTGACGTTGTTATAACCCCACTGGACGTCCAATTTGGTGAAGTATTTGGCTTTCTTCAGCCTGTCCATTAGTTCTCCAATAAGTGGTAGAGGATATCGATTTTTGATAGTCATTTTGTTTAACTTTCGATAATCCTGTACAGGGCGTAGCTTTCCGTCCTTCTTTTTAATGAAGAAGAAGGGTGACACCATTGGAGACTTTGAAGCTTGGATTCGGCCAGTAGAAAGGTTTTCGTCCAAGAACTTATCCAGCTCCTCTTGTTCTGCTGGGTTAAGCAGATAGACTTTACAGTCTAGGTTGGCATTGGTGTTAGGGATCAGCTCAATGGCATGATCTCAGGGTTTGCATGGGGGAAGTTCGTCGAAATTTTCTTTGTCGAAGACATCTTTAAAGTCCCGATATTCTTCTGGCACGATTTTATCAAATGACTTGGTAGTTTTCTTTGCATGAGCTTGGGCAGCCAATTCATTGGCTTTGGTTCCCATGGCCTGTACGTGAAAGGCTGGTTTGAAGTCTATCACCAGAATAGTATCTCCTTCGGTGTACTCATCCCAGCATGCTGACAGGTCCGTATCAGGGAGGTGAAACGGTATTTTGCGACAAGTACAGCGGGCCAGGGTTATGGCCCCCATATGCCAGTCGATGAGGGGATTATGCCTTTGCAACCAATCATGCCCGAGAAACAAGGGCATGGTGCCCAAGTCTACTATGGCTAATTCGATTCGTTCGATGTGGTCTCTGATGCGTAGTCGTACCTCGGCATATTCCGTGATATCGCCTCCTTTGTTCCTGGTGCCATCGGCATTATAAACCGGAACTGGGCAGGCTGCCTTTTTGAGGTTAATGGCATGTTCCAGAGCCCAGGCGTGGTCCAGGGAACTACTGGTGGCTCTGCTGTCTACTAATGCTTTCAGGACATGGACTTCTCGAGTATCCAACGTTTCTAACTGGACATTAATGGATACATTTCTTCCTTTTCTCCCTCGTATGTACATAGGCGGCTTCTTTAAATCCTCCATCCACTCCCACCTCTCTCTCGACTCCTTGGCAGTTTCTGGTTGCTCCTTAAGGGTGTCACATAGTTCCGTCATGATTTCACCTACTTGATGGGGGTGTACCCAGTTTTTGAGAGCAGCGTGAGTGGCGGAGTCGTTGGTGGCTAACCGTAGGGCACGACATGTCCAGTGTACCCCAAACAGCTCGTAGTACATATCCAGGATGGCCCTTTTTGCCTTGGGCATGATCTCGGGTTCAGGGGTTACACGAGACTTCCCTTTGGGTGGTGTGATTGGAATGTCGGACCGTAAGTGGGCTTCTTCATCTTCGACCTCTTCCAAGGAAACGGGAGGTTTCTTGCCTCGAGGTGGCATTTGGTCACCGGGCTGAAGAGGGCCCTTCGGCGGCATTTGGTCGCTTTTCAATGAGGTGGTAGAGGAGGGCTCACTGCCCTGTGTTTGGCCCTGGCCAAGGGCGCTTGTGCTCGGTGTTGTAACCTCTACCATGGATCCACTACTTATGCTCTTCCTACACCCGGCAGTACTTCGGGTAACCCTTCGTGGACACACATGTTTTGGCTCACCTGAAGGGTCCTCACTGTTTGCCGATGAGGGGGCTACTGGGTGAGGGTGGTTCTCCGGGTTCATTGCCTCAGCTGCCTTTCCAATGCTTCCTGAGGGAACAACCGTGGCAGCGGAAGGCCTGTCAGGCTGGGTTGTCGACCTT